GAAGAAATCATGACAAAACATTTACGAAGAAGTTTTGACAAAACATATACGAAGAAGTTTTGACAAAACATATACGTTCATTACGATGAAGAAGTCATGACAAAACATGTACGTTCATGTTTGACAAAACATTTACGATGAAGAAATCATGACAAAACATAAACGAAGAAATCATGACAAATCATTTACGTTCATTACGATGAAGAAGTCATGACAAAACATGTACGTTCATGTTTGACAAAACATTTACGATGAAGAAATCATGACAAAACATAAACGAAGAAATCATGACAAATCATTTACGTTCATTACGATGAAGAAGTCATGACAAAACATATACGCTCATGTTTGACAAAACATATACGAAAAATCATGACAAAACATTTACGCTCATTCATGAAAGAAGTCATGAAAATTCATGAGGTAGAAAAGAGTGAGATCTCACCTCTCACCTAAACATTATTTTTGGGTCATTTACGTTCTTACGAAGAAATCATGACAAAACCTATACGAAGAAATCATGACAAAACATTTACGATGAAAGTCATGACAAAGCATATACGATGAAGTTTCGACAAATCATTTACGTTCATGTTTGACAAAGCATATACGATGAAATCATGACAAAACATTTACGAATGAAATCATGACAAAACATTTACGAAGAAATCATGACAAAACATTTACGATGAAGTCATGACAAAACATATACGAAGAAGTTTCGACAAAACATGTACGATGAAATCATGACAAAACATATACGATGAAGTTTTGACAAAACATATACGAAGAAGTCATGACAAAACATAAACGAAGAAGTCATGACAAAACATAAACGAAGAAATCATGACAAAACATAAACGAAGAAATCATGACAAACATTTACGATGAGAAGTCATGACAAAGCATAAACGAAGAAATCATGACAAATCATTTACGTTCATTACGATGAAAAATCATGAAAAACATGTACGTTCATGTTTGACAAAACATTTACGATGAAGAAATCATGAAAACATAAACGAAGAAATCATGACAAATCATTTACGTTCATTACGATGAAGAAGTCATGACAAAACATCTACGTTCATGTTTGACAAAACATTTACGATGAAGTTTCGAAAACATTTACACTCATTACGATGAAGAAGTCATGACAAATCATTTACGTTCATTACGATGAAGAAGTCTTGAAAAACATTTACGCTCATGTTTGACAAAACATTTACACTCATTACGATGAAGAAGTCTTGACAAAGCATATACGTTCATTACGATGAAAAGTCATGACAAAACATATACGCTCATGTTTGACAAAACATATACGCTTCATGTTTGACAAAACATATACGCTCATACGATGAAGAAATCATGACAAAACATTTACGATGAATAGTGACAAAACATATACGATGAAGAAGTCTTGACAAAACATTTACGCTCATGTTGACAAAGCATATACGTTCATTACGATGAAGAAGTCATGACAAAGCATATACGATGAAATCATGACAAAACATAAACGAAGAAATCATGACAAAACATTTCCGATGAAGAAATCATGGAAATTCATGAGGTGAGAAAAGAGGTGAGAAAAGAGGTGAGATCTCACCTCTTCACCTAAACATTATTTTTGGTCATTTACGCTCATTACGAAGAAATCATGACAAAACATGTACGAAGAATCATGACAAAATATAAACGTTCATTCCGATGAAGAAATCATGAAAATTCAATGAGTGAGAAAAAGAGGTGAGATCTCACCTCTTCACCTAAAATATATTTTTGTCTGATTTACGCTCATTACGATGAAGAAATCATGACAAAACATTTACGAAGAAAAATCATGACAAAGCATATACGCTCATTACGATGAAGAAATCATGACAAAACATTTACGATGAAGAAGTCTTGACAAGCATATACGTTCATGTTTGACACATCATTTACACTCATTACGATGAAGAAATCATGACAAAACATATACAATGAAGAAATCATGAGATTAGAAATGAGATTAGAAATGAGGTTAGATCTAACCATCTACCCTAAACATTATTTTTAGTCGTTTACGTTCATTACGATGAAGAAGTTTCGACACATTCATTTACGCTCATTACGATAAAATCATCATGACAAAACATATACGTTCATTACGATGAAGAAATCATGAAAATTCAATGAGGTGAGAAAAGAGGTGAGATCTAACCATCTACCCTAAACATTATTTTTGGATCATTTACACTCATTCCGATGAAGAAGTTCGACAAAACATTAACGATAAAATCATCATGACAAAACATTAACGTTCATGTTTGACAAAACATATACGCTCATTACGATGAAGAAATCATGACAAAACATTTACGAAGAAGAAATCATGACAAAGCATATACGCTCATTACGATGAAGAAATCATGACAAAACATTTTACGATGAAGAAGTCTTGACAAAAACATTTACGTTCATGTTTGACAAAGCATATACGCTCATTACGATGAAGAAGTCTTGACAAAACATTTACGATGAAGAAGTCTTGACAAAGCATATACGTTCATGTTTGACACATTCATTTACACTCATTACGATGAAGAAATCATGACAAAACATATACAATGAAGAAATCATGAGATTAGAAATGAGGTTAGATCTAACCATCTACCCTAAACATTATTTTTAGTCGTTTACGTTCATTACGATGAAGAAGTTTCGACACATTCATTTACGCTCATTACGATAAAATCATCATGACAAAACATATACGTTCATTACGATGAAGAAATCATGAAAATTCAATAGGTGAGAAAAGAGGTGAGATCTAACCATCTACCCTAAACATTATTTTTGGATCATTTACACTCATTCCGATGAAGAAGTTTCGACAAAACATTAACGATAAAATCATCATGACAAACATTAACGTTCATTACGATGAATGTTCTGATGAAGTCATAACTGCCTTCCTCCTGTGTTGTTGTCTAAATGTCATGTTGTCTCATTTTTCAGAGAAGTTAAATGACCTGGTAGCACATGGTAACATGTAGCACCTTCAGTTCTTCAAAAATAATTAATTATTGAATGACCTAAAAACCATTAATGAAAACATTATTTTTGGATCATTTACACTCATTACGATGAAGAAGTTTCGACAAAACATTAACGTTCATTACGATGAAGAAGTTTTGACAAAACATATACGTTCATTACGATGAAGAAATCATGAAAATTCAATGAGGTGAGAAAAGAGGTGAGATCTCACCTCTTCACCTAAACATTATTTTTGGGTCATTTACGCTCATTACGATGAAGAAATCATGACAAAACATTTACGAAGAAGTTTTGACAAAACATATACGAAGAAGTTTTGACAAAACATATACTTCATTACGATGAAGAAATCATGACAAAACATTTACGAAGAAGTTTTGACAAAAACATATACGTTCATTACGATGAAGTTTATTTCCTGCTGTGTTGTCAAAATGTCATGTTGTCACTTTTTCAGAGAAGTTAAATGACCGAGTGACACATGGTGACGTAGTGACACCTTCAGTTCTTCAAAAATAAGTCATAACTGCCTTCCTCCTGTGTTGTTGTCAAAATGTCATGAGTTAAATTACCTGGTGACCGAGTGACACCTTCAGTTCTTCAAAAATAAGTCATAACTGCCTTCCTCCTGTGTTGTTGTCTAAATGTCATGTTGTCTCATTTTTTCAGAGAAGTTAAATGACCTGGTAGCACATGGTGACGTAGTGACACCTTCAGTTCTTCAAAAATAATTAATTATTGAATAACCTGAAACCATGAACGTAAACATTATTTTTGGATCATTTACGCTCATTACGATGAAGTTTTGACACGAAGTGAAGAATTGCACTTCGTCAAAAAAGTGAAGGTTCCCGACGGTTTCAAACCGCCATACTTTACATTTTGTACAAAAATATTGTGAGTAAATGAACTCATTATTTTTTGCATCATGACAAAACATATACGATGAAATCATGACAAAACATTTACGTTCATGTTTGACAAAGCATATACGATGAAACCTTGACAAAGCATATACGATGAAACCTTGACAAAACATTTACGATGAAGTTTATTTCCTGGACTGTTGTCTAAATGTCATGTTGTCAGTAATTTTAAGAGAAGTTAATTAACCTGGTGACATGGTGACGTAGTGACACCTAAAACCATCTACCCTAAACATTATTTTTGCTGAATTCAGCAACAAAATGAACGAGTGTCAGATGTATGCAAATACCTTTGAATTCATTCATAACGCCTTAGTAAGCTCATAAAATGCTTGTTTTGAGGTCGAGCCACTTTTGGCTTGACCGTATTCTTTCAACCAAAACTCAAGAATTTTCCTGTGTGAATTTTGTATAAAAAGCAACCGTCTGAATTCAGGCGATTGCTATATTCTTCACAAAATGCCTTATAATACTCTTCGTTCTACAAAGCAAGCATATCATTGGTTTGAAAACCAACAGACAAAAGAACTTTTAGAAGAATTTCCTCATATGATTGCTTCCCTCGGAAAACCGAGGGAAGAGATTCCGTATGAAAATTCAAGAGGGTGAAAAAAAGAGGGTAGAAATGAGGTTAGATCTACCCTTCTACCCTAAACATTATTTTTGGGTCATTTACACTCATTACGATGAAGTCATGACAAAACATATACGATGAAGAAATCATGACAAAACATTTATGTTATACAGTAATGTTAGTCATGAATGTTTGTCCTACGTGTTGGCGTTAGTGTTGAAAAATAATGTTTGTCCTACATGAACCCGTACAAGCGTTTGAATTTGTTTATGCATAAGATTACTCTCTTGTTTTCTGTATCTATCATATACTATTGTGAACAGCATGAGATTGAAGTAATGAGTAAAGGAGACTTTGAAACGCTTATGAAAGACAGTAAGGAGGTCATACATGCAATAATGAAATAGTTCATGAGAACAGTGAGGAGGTCATACATGCAATAATGAAATAGTTCATGCAATAATGAAATAGTTCATGAGAACAGTGAGGAGGTCATACATGAGAACAGTAAGGAGGTCATACATGAGAACAGTAAGGATGTCATACATGAGAACAGTGAGGAGGTCATACATGAGAACAGTAAGGATGTCATACATGAGAACAGTAAGGATGTCATACATGAGAACAGTAAGGATGTCATACATGAGAACAGTAAGGAGGTCATACATGAGAACAGTGAGGAGGTCATGAACTTTGTCATGGTCTCTGTCCCTAGTAGTTTTCATTATCTCACAGAATAAATGAAAGTCATACTTTCTATCAGATGAAGCATGCAGATGAACATAATGAAAGTTAGTGAGTTTGCCACGAGTTATGAATAAAATATTGGCATATTAGATGAGATAGCTGATGAAACAGATGAAGATAAATTAAATCTTGGACTTTGCCACACTCTGTCCCTAGTTCCTCAAAATCCTTGACAACATTGCTTAGAAATTTTGGTTCAAAACCTCATCTGATTTTAATCTGTTATGCTACCTGTTAAGTTTCGCGAGATTATAAATGTCATGGAGTTATATAAAAAGGAGGGACAGCTAGCGATACTGGAAGTACTTGTAAGGCTATCTGTTAAGATTGCATGAAATACTAAAAAGTCATGAAATCCATTATCGCTGTGCTAGCTTCACCTTTGATTGAAATGACGACTAAAGTCACTGAAGCAATGAAACAAAAGTTTTTGGTAGAATACATTAAATCAGGAACTATTCCAGAAGGTTTTTACATTCATACTATGAAGGATGGTAGAGTTCAGTTTAGAAAGATAAAGCAACCATTAGATAAAGAAGGAATTTTGAGAAAGATTAAACTTCATGAGGACAACATTGCTTAGAAATTTTGGTTCAAAACCTCATCTGATTTTAATCTGTTATGCTACCTGTTAAGTTTCGCGAGATTATAAATGTCATGGAGTTATATAAAAAGGAGGGACAGCTAGCGATACTGGAAGTACTTGTAAGGCTATCTGTTAAGATTGCATGAAATACTAAAAAGTCATGAAATCCATTATCGCTGTGCTAGCTTCACCTTTGATTGAAATGACGACTAAAGTCACTGAAGCAATGAAACAAAAGTTTTTGGTAGAATACATTAAATCAGGAACTATTCCAGAAGGTTTTTACATTCATACTATGAAGGATGGTAGAGTTCAGTTTAGAAAGATAAAGCAACCATTAGATAAAGAAGGAATTTTGAGAAAGATTAAACTTCATGAGGACAACATTGCTAAACTTAGGAAGAAGTTAGAAGAGTTGGAGAAAGGAAGAGAGTTATAAAGCAATGAATTCAACAGGGTGAAAAAAGAGGTGAAAAAAGAGGTGAGATCTCACCACTTCACCTAAATTTATTTTTGTGCTATGTTTTCATACGTGTGAGGGTGGTGATATCATTTATTTTTAAGTTTATTTTTTATTTTATTTTTATATAAATGACGAAAACTATTGAGATAACAAACTACAACGGTCATGAGTTCAAGAATTTGTTCTTCGTTCCTCGTGAAAATACATTCTATCAGATACGAGGGAGAAAGGGTAAAGGTAGTTTGAGCGTTTATGACAACAAACATAATGGGAGATATATAAAAGCAATAGATACAAACGGTAAGCGTGTTTCATTAGCTTTGTCAAAACTTACTAACATTTATTTTGACAGTGACTTTGACTCTGACGATTGGAGTGACAGCAGCGATACTGAAGAATATGAACTATTGTGTGAAGCACAGCAATGGGAAGAGTTGCAATACTTTTGTAAATGAGAACATTAGTGGGAACGTTAGTGAGAACGTTTATTTTTTCATTAGTGAGGTGAAGTGGTTGGCGGCTTTGTAAATATTTAAGGTTAAGTTAGTGTTGTCGTTTGTGTTGTAAAATATACGTTAACGGTTTTGTAAAGTGTCAAATTCACATATAATGGGTAAGGAGGCGCGCAGTGCCTCCGTACCCAAGATAACCATACTAACTATTATTAGTATCTTCAATAATGAAACCACAATCACACAAAATTTTATAGGTTCCAATGGTTTCTTTTGATATTTTATCTAATAAATCAAAAACTTTATCAACACCCGTGCATTTATTTAAATAATAATTTGTGTAAATATCATGATCTTCTTTCTTAATCGTATTAGTTGCATATGTCACGTTTTTAAGAGCTTTTTTGAATTTTTTGGAATCTAAAGGTGGTGAAAGTAGGATACAGGGGTATTCTTCATTATCAATAAATTGTAACTTATGTTTACGAATAAATTTAGTTCCTTCTTCTGAAAGTGTTTCGTCTATTTCACCATCTAATAAATTTTGTGTTGATTCTGAGACATAATTTTTATATCTTTCTTCATGAGATTTCTGAACTTCTGATTCTGAAGCTGGGATATTCATTAAACCCTCTACTTCATTTTCATTATATTTTTCAACTTCTCTTAATTCCTTAATTTTTTCATCTATTTCATCTCTTATTTTTTTCAGTCTTTCAATTTCATCGTATTCATCATCTTTAATCCGTTCTTCATAATATTCAGGGAAAACATCAGGTTCTTTAGGTTTTTCTTCTTCAGATGTGGGATATAAGAAATTTATAACATCATCTTTATTCATTTTTCCATCATAATCTAAATCATTTAATAACTCGGCAAATTTTTGACAATTTCTTAAATAATATTTATCAACCTCATAACCCACCTCCTCTAATATATCCTTTATTTCCTCGTTTGTGAATCCCAATTTTTTAACGTTGTTAGTTTTGACGCTCATTTCAAACAAAATAAAAAAATAAAATAATAAACATAACTAAGTTTTAATTTTTCGTAAGACATGAATTTCTAATTTCTTTTACCCGTTTATGAGGTCTTTGATTATGACTTCATTGATTCCATTCAGGATTTAAACAATGTTTAATTAATCGTGGAATATCTGACATCATCTATATATAACTTCTTTTATAAAAGATGAAAAAATAAATTATTTTAAAATGATTTTTAAATTTTTTTATTTTTTATTTCATTATGTATGGGCTGAGTGTAAATGTCTTACAATTTTGAAAATTTTTTAAATCTTGATTTATTCAAAAACGTAAGAATAAAAACCGTAAGAATCATACATTTTTTACTTCATATGTTAAAAAAAATGATACAAAATCGCTCGATATTGTATGAATTCTTACGTTTACAAAAAAAGTCACAAAACCCATCCTATCCTACTACTTTTTATTCAGAAGATTTAGAAATAGTTAATGTTAATGCAATAAATATAAAACCAAAAATAATTGTTATAATTTAAATGAAGAAGTAATTTAAAACGATTTTATTTATGATCAAATTTTATATATTTTTTTGGATCAAATCCATTTTAATAGAATTTATATACTATTCATCTATTAGTAAACACTACCGTATATTATTTTTTAAGCTATCTTATTTTTTGAACTTTTATTCAAATCTTTGGTCGCAAGAAGAATTGCATGATAAATAAAAACATTTAATCAAAGTCAATTTTATTTTTCATATTCAAATGGACTGAGTGTTAACATTTAACATTTTTTGCTAATTGTCGTCAAAAATTAGGCGTAAAGCAAAAATTGATATTTCATATGGTTTTATGATAGATAAGCATTATATTCCCACTCATTATATTCGTAAATTTTGAGGTTTATCCTTCGCTTTTAAGATCATTGAATTTGATTTTTATATAAAATAGTTATATATTAGAAAATAATATGAGTTTATGTGATATTATTTTTCAGAAGATTTCATTCTATATGCCTATGAAAAGTACTCTCAAAACTAACTTTTTCCTAATTATAATTAAATCTAGAATATTGTATTATGCTTAGTATTATTTCATTTTTCTCATTCAATTTAGAATTTACAAATGTCAAAAAATTGAGAGCTGTCACTTTTGATGAATTTTTTATCTGTGAAAGAAAAAGCAAATATTTTGATAATCATAAATAAATTGAAATAAATGCAATAGAATTACATTTGATAACCATAATAAATGAGCGTATTATTCAGATGTTTTAACATGATTTCAGCTAAATATTACAAAAAAATAGCAGGGATTTTATTTAGAAGATTTTGAAATAGTTAATGTTAATGCATAAATTGTTTTAGGAATCGAAAGGATGTTCTTGTGTTTGTTGTCTTTCAGACTGTTAGGAATAACAAAAAATGTTAATGGTTGATGTGATGATGTTTTATTAACATCATCAACAACATAAAGATAAATTGAATGAAATACACATGAAATAGAATCAATTCCAATTGATTCGGTGAATGGACGTTGATTATTATCATAAATATAAAATGTTGTTAAATCATTAAATGTTTCTTCATCAAGTGACTAAATAAGTTAAACAGCTTACTGAATATGTAGCTCTTTTTAGAAAACAAACGGTTTGACAAAGATCTTCATGGATACCTTTTGTCTTGATAAAGTATAAAATAGGGCTGTAAACAAATAACACTAATAAAATCTGACTTAATCCCATCAAATAATTTAATTTTTCGCAAGACAATTCAGTATTTTGTACTATATCTTCGCAGATTACCATTTCAACTGCTCTTAGAAATTCTCCAATCATTTGAATCAGAATTAATATGATATCTGATTTCTTAAATTGTGCACGTTCAATTTTGATTTTATTAATTATAATAATAGTGAGTATATCAATAAGAATCGTAGAAAAGATCTCATATCCATATACTTTCTTCTTAAGAATATTTTTTTGATAATTATTAAGGGTGCCCTATAGACGATAGACCACCCTCAGAAAAGCACTTTTAAGGCTATTATATTGAGAACTAGAATCTGGATAATCCATTCATTCGAGTTCTAATAAGGTTAATTTTGTGATGTTTACATTATCGTTATAGGGCACCCTTAAGGAGGCTGTTGAAAAGACTACAATAATTGATCCAATTGAGGTTGAGATATACAATATAGTAAAATTTAATGCAAAACACTCAAACTGATCAAGTATTGCGCATAATGGTATCAATAAATATGTTTTCATTGAAACATTTTTATGAAATTCTTTCACACTAGTTTTCTGTATTATTATATGCGGGAAAATGCATAGTGACATTCCAATGGCCATTACTAAATTTAAAAAATTTGAGGAAGGCTGAATATTCGAGACATAGGTACGTGAATAGTGTGTTAGCACCCCAGTAATTAGGTAAAATGCATAAAACCACCTTCGTTGGAAAGAATTAATATCTAAAATAGGCCCTGTCGATTTTAATAAATTTGACACACTTTGACACAATTTTATTTGGGCGGTGTTAGATCTCTTCCTCTAACGCCAAAACTTTAAAATATTATATCGTTTTTAATTTTTATTCATTGACGGTTTCAGATTTTTCAATTAAGGTTGAAAATGGGTTATACCAATTTTGAGTATTTTAATGAATAATGTTGTCTGAAAGTATCGAATTCACTGTAGGGGTACACTTAAATGCACTTCTGAATTTTAATTCTAATTTGGTCATTGAAAGTTTACTTAAAAATGCATATCTTAAGGTAAGGATGTCAATTTGGAAGAAAAGTGAGAAAATTCCTAAAATGCTAAAAATGAATTTTCCAAACGTATTTTTATACCTCATTTTTTTGATTTTGAAAAAAATTTGGAGAGAAGAACTCTTCGTTTTTGAATTTTGTCACGATGGTTTTAAAGTATATTAGACACATGTATTGATATTACTATTTTTGTATATTTTGAGAGAAAATCCCTAAAAAGTGAGAAAATCTGAGACGGTTTGAGAAAATATATAAACTATTGAAAATTTGAATTAAACTTCTAATTTGGAAAAAAGAAATTTGGAAAGAAGAAAATTCAAAAATCGAGATTTAGACTCAGTATCAAATGGAGAACAAAATGTTTCTTCATATGAAGGAAAAAATTTTCTTGAGAAGAAATAGAATTTTTAAAATTTTATTGTATGTAATAAAATAAACAAATATTAAAATTATTTTTTGATAACAAGAAAATTCCCAACAGAAAATATTTGAGACAAAGAAAAAAAGAAAATTGAAAAATATTACTCTCCTTTACATTTCATGAGATCTTCAATTTATTTTCATAAAATTGACAATTTTATACGTTTAGATGAAAATAAGTGATTTTGCTTGAAATAAAAATTATTGTTTGTTTACAGCTATCAAATAGTTTTTTGCTATTTTGATTAAAATTTGTTAATCAAATTAATAATTTTTTTTCTAAATATCTTAAATATCTGGATCACTCACTGATACGATGAATTAAACGATAAAAATAATACAAACTCAACTAAGTTTCCTCTCTTTCAACCAAAAAATATTATGCAATTTAAATTAAATTGTTTATTCAAAGATAAAACAAAGATAAAGTAATTATAATTATCATATACTTTATGAATAACTCTCTAATTGGATAAGATTTTCGTACAAATATTTTTATTAATATCGATAAGAATATGTTTAACTACTATCACCATATGTCGATAAACGAGAGTAGAGTGATTTTTATCATCGAAACTTTTTAAAAGCTGTAAGCAGGAAGTAATAATCTTGTTTTTTCTGAGTTAGTTGTAGAACTATTGATGCCCGAGTTATCATTGTGATGCAGAAGGATATCAATGTACTGACTGAAGGATATGAATTGAATTGAATTTTATTGAATTTCAATTTGATCAAAATTTGTTGAAATGATATGAATGTGTCAACTTCTGTATCATTCTCCTTCACTCCTTCCTTATTCTTTCGAGAACGAAGCTAGCTCAGCTTTCGCTGAGCGAATTGACACTTTTCATGCCCTAAACGTACATACTCTCAAATTTATCGAAAAAAATTAATACCACCTAAACTAGTATATTCTTATTTTAAATATGATATTATCCTTATATTCCACACTAAAATTCATTTAAATCAACTTTTTTAAAAAGTTCGAATCCTGCGCGTCTCACTTTTTAAATTTTCCAAATGGAAAATTATATTCTCCTAAAGTGAAAACAATTTTCCAAATTGACTTCCTTACTTAAGGTCACAGGAAAAGAATTTTATTATATTTTTTAGCTCAAAATGCAAAAATGAGTATTCGAATTAACAATTTGAAAAATATTTCAAAAAATTTATTCAAACATGGTGAAACAAACAAAAATTAATTAAACTTTGGAAAATCTATCGCAGTAGAAATAATCCGCTTTTTCCCCGATCAATTTACCGACATCTTCAAGTAATTCTGCATTTAGAGTAAATCCTTTATCAATATAATCTAAAATTATATAAGCATTTCCGTAGCTGCATGCTTTTTCAAATATTTGAATTTCAATTGATTCTCTTCTTTTTTCTGAAACTTTGTTTTCTAATAGCCATTCAAAAACATCATTTCTATACTGCTTAAGGGCAATCAGCAGTAGCTTTGATTGAAACTTTTCATCGAAATCTAAAGATAATTTCAAAACTTCTAAAGATCCTCCTTGAATTGCATATCTAATGCATCTATTCATTGGAAACTTATTGATTATCATATACTTAAAGCAGTTAATTGCGCCAAAATAAGCAGCAAACTGTGGATATTCTAATTGTGAGTTTAAATTTGAAGGCTCAAATTCTGAAACACTTGTTAAATTGGTTGGATTAAAATTAATACTATTAGCATGCACCTGGAAAGCAATAAGGTCATCATATTTTAAAGAATATTCAATAGAATTCTTTGGATAACCGTATAAGACGTATTCTGTGAAAATCTTATTGTCTTGAATAATTTTGTAGTGCTTCCAGTTGTCAATAATGTTGAGAATAAATGAATCATGAAAACTTTGAAACAAGACAGGTTCTTTCGATTGTAATTCATTATAGAAAACTTCATACAATGGAACATTATCCATTGTTTTGGGTGGATAAAAATTAATGTAAAAAAGAATTGAATCCCAACTTACATATTCGTCATTGTAAAGTACAAACAGAAAGTGCACATTGAAATAAGGTATTACACTTTCTCTATTATGATTTAAAAGGTTTTTGCTGCAAAAATTGCTTAAAATATCATTAAATTGCTGCGTTTTACTTAATTCGTATAATAATTTGGCGTATTGATGTATAAACAATGTTCTAATATGCGCAATTTCAAATATAAATTTTCTAACGAATCTTTCTTTGACAGTTCCTTCGCTAATAACTTGAGTAACTTCATTCACATTGCTATCCGATAAATCCATGAGTAAGTTTTGAAGAGTTGCTACTTTTTCAAGTTCAGCACGAGCAATTGTAAAATTATCATCCATCCAATATAATTTTGGTAATAAATAATATCATTGAGTTAACTGCAAATCTTAACATTTACTTCATAAGATCATGTCAGAGAAGGATTAAATTTTGAAAATTGAAATTGGCTGACATGTTTGAATATTAGATAAGTAGATAATGCAACTTAGGCTTATATTTATGAATTTAAGTATTTCTTTAAAGGTAATTCCAATCTTTTTCCTATAGCTTTAGGAAAGACCGAACTTTGGATAATATAAGAAGTAAAAACATATATGTAAAGTTTGGTGAGCTATAGCCCAAGAGGAAAGCTATTTTTTTTCCCGAATTATAAACTAAATTTTTAGATTACATAACAAATGATAATATATCATATTTCACTTAAGCTAGTAATAAATTTGCTTGCTTGTGGGTATTCGAACCAAGGAAGTTCAAATACTTTTGTAAAAACTAATAATGCAAAAATTATAAGTAAATAAGCAAAAATTTTCATAATATACTAGTTGGTCCATCCTTTTTCGGATTTGATTCCTTTGTATGCTGTTTCAATGACCCATATAAGTGCAGCAGATACGGCATCAGACACATTAATGGATAAACATGTTGAGTAATAAATGCAACGCATGAAGAATATATTAACAAATACAGAAACAAATAAATATGTAAAGCAACTAAATATTAAGGCGTTAGAAAGACCTAAATTTCTGAAATCCTTACAGAAATCTTCATGGAAAGGATTCTTGCAATTGAGAAAGTTCAAAGGTGGTGCTATTATGAACAAGGTTGCTGATATTTCATATAATCCTGCAATTGAGTTAAATCTTTCGCATGAAATATCATAATTTTCGTATATATATTCAAGAATCAATAACTTAACGGATCTTAAAAGTTCGCATATCAAGTGAATTCCGATTAACATTAGAAATTCACTATGTTCAAAATTTGTGTCATTTTTCGGATCTTTAAAATCAGCAATAAGCACCAACATCATGGCAGCATCCATTAATAAGACTGCAAACAGTTGAAATCCAAATATTTTTTTCTTTAATATGAATTTTTTCGATAAAATAATTACCAAAGTGTCGAATAGGTATAAAATAGAGCCTGTTGAGATAGAAACTTTTTTGATAGTTACACTGAGCACGAGACTTTGAATTAAATCAATCATAGCACAAATTGGAATGAGAAGTAACGCTTTCATTGGAATTTCCTGATAAAATTTTTGATTTTCTCTCTTTCTACGTATCATATCTGGAATTATCGATAAAAAAACAGCAACTGCCATAAATAAATTCAAGAAATTTGGTGTTGATTCGCTATTTGCAATGACTTGATTCATTTGAATGGTCTTACGTGTGCATTGAGAACATACTCTGCAAATGATGTAAAAAATATATGACCAGTTCGTATCAAATGAATTGATTTCAATCACCATTTCTTCAGTCTGATTCCAATTGAATTATCCTCATTTACAATTTCTTTCAATTTATTTTTTGATAATATTTTGATTATCGTTATTTTAATAAAACATAGTGCTGTTCTTGTAAATTAAATTGAAATTTTGAATGGTAAGAATTTCAGATCCACAAAAAAACAATTTAATGATTTTTTTAATAATTGATGATTTTTTTTATTAAAAAAGTTACTTTTTTCAAAGCAATTGAAAAGAAATTTCTTTTAAAAAATGATCGCTTCAAGGATGATATTTCGTTGTTTTAATGATCAATATTCTAATATTTGACTTTTGATTAAACAGAAAACTTTAAAAATTCAAATGTGGTTATTTATATTAATTAATCTTTATTGTTAAATTTAGAGGAAAATCGTCATTTTTAAAATTCAATTGAAATTAATCGTCTTTTTTATTTATTACTCTAGAATTACCCACCCAATTGGGCCTCTAATTTCAATATTAATTAATTTATTAAGCTAAATAAACAAATATAAAAACAATTTATAAAATAACATGGTAAAATAAAAAGATAATAAAAATACTTATCTTGGTGGAAGAAAAGCTCTAACAGAAGCCATTCCCCATTGAATTGGATTGCCACTGCATTTGAGATCGATGAATCCTAAGCATTCATTTCCATCATAAACAGCAATCGGAACAACAGAATTATTAGGATCTGGGAGTTGTTCAGTTGAACTCATATTCAGTTGTAAAGATTTTGTTGCGTAAATTGTTATTTCATCTGTTCCAATGATTGTCAATTCGTCATGATTCCAGTATGCATTTGATAGTTTCACGTGTTCAATCTTGAGACCATCTTTGCATTCTTTGATGCAAAAACATTTCTTTTCTCCGAGAAATTCTTTCCATTTATGATTTTTGTAAATGGAAATGTCATCTCCAAAACTCAGCATCATGCACGAATTGTTAAATGTCGGAGGTACTTCTGATCCAAAGTAAATCGAGTTCTGACTATCAACATGCGCTAAACCAGGAATACTTGGTTCGTTTTGTCTGAAGAAATACTCGATTTGTTTCACCAATGAATTCTTGTCAACAACATCTCCACAAATTGTTTCGATGTAGTTGATGAAATAGTTCTTCCAAAGTTCCCTCAGATTGAAGTCGCCAAAATAATTCTGTTCAAAGAATGAAGTCGCCAAATTAACAGTAGGAATCAACATTTGCATTGGGAATTTGAAATCATTTCTATGACTTAAAATAGAGAAGAAAAGAAGCAAAGGTCCGCAATAATGCAAACATTCATTGACATTTTGAGTAATGAATTCTGAAAGGAAACTAGAAACACCATTATTTGTAAATGGTCTGCTGAAATATCTATAAATTGCATGAGGTAAAATTGGAAGTTTTTCTAAGTCACTTTTTGATGTAAAAATTGCAAAATCAACGAAATTCAAAACGTTTGAATAATAAAGAACAGAATAAATAATCCATTTCGGAAGTGCATCATCAAATAAAATGATCACTCGTGAACCATTTTGTTCACATAAATTGAACAATGATAAAACAAAATCTTCACTTTTTGGAAGTAAAAAAGAAGTCAGAAAATAACATTTTTCAGGATACAACAATCTGGCAATGAAATCAATAGGTAATAAATCATCAACTATGATAATAGAAGGATTATCAGCTTGTGAGTTGAAACTAAATGTTGATTTGCTTGCAGTAATAAAGAAAGTTCTTGGAAAATGTGACAATTTCTGCAAAATATGATTCACAACTTGAGGCAATAAGGGATAAATATTTCTTTCATGGAGTTTAGGAAATTGATCTTCTATTAGGAAATCTTTTGCAGATTTGTATTCGATGAGATATTTCGCTTCGAAATTAGACAAAAATGAAACTCTTTCTTTTGGTTCCAAAAATTCCAAAAAATACAAAATAATTTCTTCTAAATTATTAATCGCTGTTGTCTGATCCATTACTTTTGTATTTTTCAAGTAGTTCTTAATAGTTGATAACAACTGGAACACAGAGAACTTGTTGTTAGCCATTTGTACAACGTTCCTCAACAAATAATTCAACTTAGAAAATTCATTTTTCTTCTTTTCAATTGTATTCATTTCTTTGATGGCTTCATTCAATGATTTATCCAGATTAACGAAACCCTCTAGATTAGATCTTAATTGAAGCATTTTTGTATTGTTTTCGAAGTATTCTGGCCATGATTCATGACTTAATTCAACCAATCTTCGCATTGAAGTCAGAAAATTTGAATTAATACTCGATACATTTCTCAAAGAATGAATTAACTCCGTACAATAAGTTTCATTGACGTAAGAACAAACTAAATGTTCAAAGAATGTTGTATTTTCTAATTTGCTTGCTGAGTAATCATGCAAAATGATGTTTGGATGTTTGAAATCCTGGAGATTTGTGAAAATCAGCAATTTGAATGATAATTCAATTGGTTTTCTTTGTTCTCCATATTGTACATAATGCATTGCTTGTATCTGCAAAGTTATGTGTCTTACGAAATCAATGAATTCATATCCTTTCTTTAAATCATCAATAAACGCAAAAACAATTTTTCCTGATGCAATTGAATTAATCAATTCTTCTTCATAATTATAATCATAAATAATCTTTGTGTTCATTGCATATTCAACTAAAAAATGCTGCAAAGCAATAGATTGTGGATCATAGTAAACATCAATGCAATCATCAATTAAACTATCACTTTCTGATCTAAAGAATAATTGGTCGTAAATAACCAAAGTATTAAACATTTGGGAAGTTCTATCACTTAAATTCCTGGAAGTTAAGTTTGATGATGTGGAAGAACTGAAGTAATTCAATGAACCAGATTTGGAATTATTCAATAAATCAAGTGTAATTCTCTTTTCAATTAATTTGAAAGGAGTGTCAAACTCTTGTAATTCACAATCTTTTAATATTTGATGGCGTTTTTCATATGAAAGAGAACAAATTCCATATTGATAAGCAACTTGAACTGCTGAAAAATTCTTGTTCTTTATGTCAATTCTGGCGGCTTCTGATATAATTGAATCTAAAATTTGTTCTGCACTTTGTAAAGTATTAAATAATTTTCTGACATCATCTTTATCATTTTTCCAAGCAGTTAATAACCAACTTGGACATTCTGTTTGTTCATCCCTTCTCTTCAGAACAGCCATTGCTGAAACATGAGATTCGGATAAACCATCGAGGAACTTATTGTTCAATCTAATTCTGTTTTTAATGTTAGAAATTTCGTTTGAAATTTCATTTTTGGCTTTGTTTTTCTCAACAATTTGTATTACAACAGAGAACCATCTAATGAAATAATCAACAATTTCTATATCTGTTATTGGAGTTATTTCGTTTTCTTTTATAACGAAATTGATCTCCGAATTGTTGTATTTCTGGATTTTACTCGATATCAAAGGATCAATTTTCTCAAGATTTAAATTGAGTAAACTTTCAACAATGTTTGTTTTCGTTCCATCAATTATTGGATCAGGAAAAATGGAAATAGTTACATATCCAAATATGTCTTTGAAAGCATCGCATAAAACGGAGGTTTGATCTCTTTGAGAAATCCATCTCAAAACTTGTCTTTTCTGATTATCAATGTCAATTTTAAGGATAAGTGAAGTGACCACTTTAATTCGATTTGGCAAATTTTGTTCCAAATCTTTTTTGATCAAATCAAGTTTACTTGTGAAATCTTTGATTTGTTCTTCGAAAATTGTGTTCTTCTTTTTAGTTTCTTTGATTTTGATGTCTAATTGTTCTGCTTTCTGTGTTATATCTTCGTCATCATCTTTTGGTAAATCAAAATCAATTTTTGGTCGAAGTGAAGTCAAATTTCCGAAAAATGAAGTAATTGATTGAATTTCTCCAATGAAATCTTGAGTTTTCTCATTCAATAACTTCTGTCTATCCTGTGTGAATTTGTCGTAAATTGACAGATTCAAGTTTGTGTATTTCACGAGTTTATTTACGTAATCATTATTTGCCATTCTTGCTTGGTTCATCAATGATTTGTTTATTTCTAAAACTGGCATCTTCTGGCGGAAAATCAAAGGAATTTTCTCGTAATTGTCTTCACGACAAACAATCAAGAAATTGATGTAACTTTTGAGTGTTTCAAAAGCTTTTTCTAGTGTGAGATTTGTGTTCAAATAATTCTTGAAAATCTGCAAATCTGTCAAATCAAAAACTGTTGAACGAGTTGCGTATTCAGAACAATACAAGAAGAAATACAAAATATCAAACAATTCATCATCAATTTGCGATGCTTCGATAATAAATGTCTTTTTGTTTTTCGTTTGTGAGATATTAACAAGAGAAGTGAAAATTTGTCCATGAGAACTTTTGTCTAAAACAACAAATTCTGTTCCTTTTATTCCAGCGAAAATTTTGTATTCATCTGTTTTAATTATCGTTGGAATTTTTGAAAAAATGACTTCACTTATCAAAGAACCGAAATTGAACTGATAAATGAAATCAGAAACACAGAAATGATTGTTTTGGAACTCAATGACTTCGTTCTCTTGTAATTTGAATACATCAGAAGTATTTTTCAATCCAAAATAAATAGAAAATATTCTTGAAATATCCGAAATTTTTGTCATGTTAAAAGTTAATGACAAAAACTGTTTGACAAAATACAAGTTTTGTTTCTTGAGGAATTCTTTAATATTGTCTAATATTTCGTCATTGAAATGGAACAAATCAACTTGATCAACATCAGCTTCTGTCACTTTTTCCCAACTCAAAAAGTGACAAGGTGCAAAACAAAACTTATTTGGATTTGTTGTTGTAATGATCAATTGGATATTTGATACTCTTACGTATGTGTTTTCTGGTGTTTGAATTGATCTAAAAAGTAAGAAACTTTTGACAAAATTCTTGATTTCAGGTGAACACAACTGATAATCGAAAACAACAATCCAAAGTATTCCTCCTTTCAAGTTTGGTTTGTATTCCATTTGTTTTACAAATTTGAGTTTGTTGAAAACAACTTTATTGATGTTTTGGTTGAAAGGAGAAACGTAAATAAATGAATCCTTTGGTTTTTTGTTTGTTGCCAAGAAACCTTTTGCGAAAGTTCTTTTTCCACATGACATTTCTCCATTAATTACCAAAGGAATTCTTTTTGATAAAATGAAAGACAAAAAGTGTTCATTTTCATCAAAATCAGAATTGAAAGTCTTTTCTATTAACTCTGATAGCAAAATATTTTGTTTTGCTAATTGTCTGAGTTTGTTTAACTTCTTAATCATCAACAAATAAATTGTTTTCTCGTTTTCTTTGTATAAAATCTTCCTTTTTTCGATCAAACTTTCTAAATAAACAATTATTTCGTTGAAATAAGGATTCAAACTCTTCTCTTGTGCCATGATAAACGCTAAGTCTTTTAAGCTGATATCTTCTATAAATAAACCGTTACAACATTTAAGTGTCACTTTTTTATAAACTTCGATACATAACGGTTTATAACCATGAACAAGGAATTTAATTTTTTTGTTTTTTGATTCATTCCAAGAGAAATTTAATTTGTTGATTTGTTCACCGAGAGAAACAAAAAACAAACCAAGGAAATGATAGAAAGATTTTGAAACAATCTTAAGAGATTTCGCATGAACACGTATTGGATTATCTGGCGATTGACTTCTTGGAGAAATAAGTTCATATTCTTGGAACAAATTATTGATTTTTGTCATTGTTTGGATCAAATTATCAGGTAAAATCAAAGAAATTGGATCTTCAAGAGCTCTTACTTCTCCTGTCAAGAAATATTCAGGAAGATTGAAGAAATATCTGTTTTTGTTTTTGATATAAATTTCATTCTTTTGCATTGTTTTGTATATGAAAGGAACAGGATCCAAATTAAAAATCGATTTAGAAATGATGTCTAAATCAAGCTGGTTATTGATTTTCAGTTTGATTTCTTCTCTTATTTCACTTATCTTTTGAACTAATAATTCTTTTGGTTCTTTATTCAGATAAATCGGTCGATATCTTTGTTTCAAATATCCTGGAATTTCGCAATTTTCTGAAAAAGTGACAAGAAATTGTTTCTCAAGTTTTATGTCTTTGAAACAATTGTTGACTTTCACTTGTCTCACATTGTTTTCAATGATTTTATAGAAGTCATTAAAACTCTGTGAAGTGCTGCTTTTCGTGATATTATAAATGATTTTATTGTGAGAAATCAAATCGATTAAATTATCACAATTTTCAGATTCGAAATAAAGATATCCAATGAAATCAGCAAAAACTTTTGACAAATTTCTGTTTGAATTGAAAACTTTTGTTAATAACAATTCGAAATTTGACATGCCAATAAACATTGCGGATAAACCATTTTCTTCTGTGTCAGACAAAGGAATAATAGAAGGATTATCAATCATTTCATATCCATATGTCAATGATTGATTCATATATGAAATTGTGACTAATTCTGCAGAAGCAATTTGAGAAATATTGATCCACAAATGTTTGTTTAACATGAAATCTCTGTTATCCATAATAAAATGGTTTTCTATTTCTGTTGCAATTTCTCTTTGTCTGAGTTTTAATGATATAATGTTGGCGAGTTTTGTTGTAAACTCTGGTTTTCTCTTCATTTCATCTCTTAAGTTTTTGATACTTTCTTCGATTTTTATCCTCAAAAAAGTAAAATCATTTCTTGTGAAATCTTTCAACATTATTTCATTGAGTTGGTTCTTAAAGAAGGCGGATTCTGATACTAATATTGCTTGTAATGGATATTTCTCATATAATTTTGTTAAATCAGTATAATCTCTTGTACTAAAACAATCAGAAATTGATCCTTTCACAGTATTTTTCAGTTCACTTTCTATTTTCATCAATAATTCGGTAAAAGAAAGTTTTGGAACAATGAATTCACTTGAAAACGAATAAGTTTCACCTAATTTATTTGAAATTCCAAGTAATCTTTCGCTGTCTGCCATAGAAATGTGGAATTTCGAAATTGCTGGGAAAATTGGTTTGAAATCATTTTGAGAAAATCTCAAATTCGAACAAGCAATGATTATTCCAATTAATTCATCATCATTACACAAATATAATCTTGGATAAAGCTGTCTCTGTTGGTCTAACAAAGGATGTATCAATTTCATAATAGTTTGGCATCTTTTCTTGCCTTCAATTAAACAATTTACTAATAATTCTCCAATAACATTTTTCTGATCCGTTATCGGCTGATTATCGTCATTTGACACTTTTGTTTTATCTTTATTTCCTGACATTACGAAATCCAAACTTGATTTAGACGAGAATGCTGCTGTATCATCAATTTGTTCATTGAACCTTTTCTCTGGTTCTGGAACTAAACTAAAAACAGTTTGGTTTTTCGAAACTTGACTCATAAAAGTGTCATAAAAATTATTGACAAATTTAAGTTTTTGGAATAAATAAGGATAATGGAAACTTCCAAATAAATTCTTCGTGATACTTAAAACATAAACATAATCTGTTTGAAATGACCTCAAATTTGTCAAAATTTTGATTGCAATGTTTAATTTTTCTGTCCATTCTTTTGATTGTAATCTAATTGAGTCGAAATAATCATTATTCTTAAGTCCTTTCAAGTACAACATGTAGTTCTCGCATATTTGATTTGCATCGTATAAACAAGGAAAAGTAACAATATTTTTGCCAGCCATTTTTGAGTTTACAAATTTAAAACTCAAATTCGAACATTCTTCAATCATTTCGTTGAAATGTTTCATTAAGTTTTCTCTTTGTTGCATTGTTATGATGAAGTCTCTGATCTCATCAACTTTGTTGATAAATACTGGTTTGAGAAATTCTAAAACGAATAAAGGTTTGATTTCAAAAAATTTCAAACCGCAAATATCACAAATATTTGACCATCTGACATCATTCATTTCTATTTTTGAGATTGTTGTGAAAAATGGTAAATACTGAGCGATATTTTCATAAACATATGCCATTTTGTCATACAAAACATGGTTAACAGATCGAAGCTCCCTTTCCGAATAAGAATTAATGAATTCAATCAAAGAAGGTAAGTTACAATCGACCATTCTTTTGTCAATTATCGATTTCAATTTAACAGTAAATTCTTGATAATATTTCCAATGATGCAAAATGACTTTTAAGTCGTTTTCTACTGTCTTTAAACTAGAGAAATCATAATCAGAATAGTTCATTCTACTTGAAACAGAAGTGAAATCTTTAACCATTACTTTGACATTTTCTAAATTTGACAAAGCCTGATTTATATCAGAAATTGCAACTTCAGGAGATTGATTTACATTACAAATAGCGAATTGACGTTTCATTTGGCGTTCTAATGTTTTAATTTTAGAATCAATTTCTTTCTGTTTCTCTTTCAATTCGTTCAAAGCTCTGATTTTTGCTCCTTCCATTAAATTCTGAGCTCTTGTAAGTTTTTTGTCAAATTCGTTTGTTATTTCTTTAACTTCTTCAAGAGATTGACTCAAAACAGGTAACAAAAGTTCCCCGCATTGTATTGCTCGATCAATAATTCCATTAATAATTGTTGTATTTTTGTTTAATTCAGGAATAAAAACAATCGCATTCGAAATATTCAAATTAAACTCGGCAATGTTTTCTAAATTATATCCTTTGAGTTCTAAAGTAGAAATGATATGTTTGACATCTTCAATTATGTTCTCACAAATTGTTCTAAAATTAGAAAACAAGATGGAATTATTATCTTGTATCAAATTATCAGTGATTTCAATTAATTCTTGTTTCAATGTTCTTGCATCCAAAATTATTTTGTTATGATGATAATTCGAATGTAATTTTTTAACAGATTCTTTGAGATTTGTAAAATCTGTCAAATTTTGGACAAATTTTTGAGGATCGTTTACAATTTCCCTCATTTTGTGCCAATTGTTTTTGAATAAATTGATTTGATGTGCAGGTTCTAGATATAACTCACTTGATTTAACAGCATCTTCATAAGAAAATTCGATTTCTTTTCTCATTTCTTCTCTTATGTTTAAAATAATTTTGTTTTTCTCTAAAAATTGACAAACATTTTCACATTTTTGAATTTTGTGTTTTCCTGTTGAATCGATTTTTAAAGGTCTCACGAAACCATCAAATATATTTACTAAGCTCTTGATGTAATTATTAAATAACTCTGTTAAATCTTTGAGAGTTGGACTAAATGAAATTTTTTCGGTTTCGTAAACTAAAAAAACTCTGAAAAAATGTTCTGAATTTTGATTACGAAAAAGATCAAACAACTTATTCATTTCTCGTTCGAACAATGTTGTGAAAACTTCAATCATCATTTTATCACACATTTTCAAGAAGTTTTTTAGATGATTCACATTTGTCAAACAATATTCTGTGTCACTTTTATGTTGTTTTTCAATTTCTCTTTCTGCAGCAATACTTAAAGAAGCCTTATAAGCTAGAGCACCTCCAGCTAATAATGCTTGTGGTATTTTCTCTGCTGTTATGAAATCTATGCTTCTTGGTGTTGTCATGAAATGATATTTGTTATTTATAACAAAACAAAAATCATCTAAAATTTTGTAGATTTTTTTCGATTTTTCGTAAACAAAGTCTTTCAATTCATCAACTTTTGTATCAAATATGTGTTTGACGACATCGAATTCGTGATTGTTCGTGTTTTGTACTAAGAAAAATTCGAGATTATAAAATTCATATAAAATTTTTCGAAATTCTAATAAAGTATTAGGAAATGATGGTCGAGCATTCCAACCTATAACTGAGAAAGTGTTTTTCTGTTTCAAAAACTTCTTTTCTTCTGTCCGAAGTTTCCATAAAAAAAATGTTTTGTAAGTTTTGAATTGGCTGAATAATTGGATCGGTTGCAACATTCCATATTGTATTTTCGATCTTATATATACGTCTATTGGTATAAATTCGGAAGCTCCAGATTGAGAAATTTGAAATACTCCTTTTCTTGAAATTGTTTGATAATCTGTATTGGAAATTGGTGGTGCTTTAACTACATCGAAAGAATATCTGTTTGAATGATCAAGAGATCCGTAATGAAATAAAGTATCGTCTGTTTCAGGATTTGCAGCAGAAAACTGTTGTATAGCTTGCATGTCATCTTTTATATTGTCTGACATTTTAATTGTCCTTCGAAATGAAGTTGATAATAGTATATTTTGCGAATTTTCAATTTTTGGAGTTTCCAAAAACTCTGTTTCTATTTTTCTTAATCTCCGTGCAGTATTTGGTCGTGATTCTTCCTCAATTTCCTTGGTTGGTACTGATTTTGAAGAATGACGCCTTGGATTAAATCTCGTTAGATCGATTTCTTTGATATTTGCCTTGTAATTATGACGTTTTGATGTATATTCTGTCGTTGGAGGTCGAATTTTTACATTTGAACAATGCTCTTTTTGCTTAGATTCAAGATGATATTTGTATTGAGTGGAAGGAAAGAGTTTGTAGAAGGTTTTCTCGGATAAATATGTATTAAAATCATGTTGGGATTTAATTTTCGCGATTAATCTCAATGTTTTCGTAACAGGTTCATATCTTTTATTTTTATTTACGAGGTCAATTAGAAAACTTCGTAGATTTGACCACAGTGATGTTCTGTCTATTGAACTGGATGAAATTTTGACCAGGAAATTCTCAAATTCATAATGCACTTTATCAAGAGAATCATCCATAAATCAAATTGCCCTTAAAAAGAAGAGAATTGTAATAACTCCTGCAATATACATTAAATAATTATATTATTTAGTAAAGAAGTTACCTGCTTCAAAATTTGATCCCAAAAAATTGCTAAGTTTACCTGTTTTCAACAAATATTTGAATATACAGCTTGTTTTGGAATAATTCGTTTGAAAATTGTAATAAAAAACTATCATATTCGCTGAATCAAACCTCTAATTCTTGACGTCGAGAATGGAAAAATAGTGAGAGCAAAGAGCAAGCATTATATTGGTTCATTGATTTAGGTCGAGTATGGGAAAATAGTGAGATCAAAAAAAATTGTGAAGAAAAATTGAGATTGTGGGTCATTCAAGATAAAATGTTCGAAGCCAAGAGAATGGTATTATTTGATGATTTGATTTTACATCATAATTGATTTTCTATTGTGATCCAAAAAAATTGAGAACAGATCCATAAATTTTTGTGAGAATTTTTCAATAGTAAATTTAATTCATTTTTAATGGAAAGTAAGCAAGAATCAGCTGAAGATATTAGATTGGGTAAATTATCTCCGTTTTTAACAATCATGAAACTATGTATGGGTCCTCTCTTGCTCAATATTTTATCCTCATTTCAAGATTCAATTGATCTTTACATCATCAGAAAAGGATTTGGACAAAAAGGAGTTACCATAGTAAGTATAGTAGGAGGATTAAAAGGGATGATGACTGTATTGCCGCAACAATTAAAACGAGTGAACTTCTTGCGAAGCATGAATTCGAAAAAGCAGGAAAATTTTTCGTAGAATTTGTCAGATTTGGTCTTATTTTAGGAATAATTTTACCAATCATATTTATGACAGTCATTCCTAAGTTATTATCGAACATCGGTGTTCAAGATGAATACAGAGAAGAATCAATAAGATATTTATATCCTGCATTTTTTTATTCCTTAATATCATTTATATTTGGTTTCATTAATTGTCAATTATTAGCAATGGGTTATGCAATATTACCTACTCTTATTCAAGTAGTTGCTATTGTACTTACAATTGGAATTGATTTTTTATTTATTTACGGATTTCATGTTACAATTGGTTGGATGAGTTTGGCATCAGTTTTAGGTCCAACACTTGTTTGTTTGTTCATGTTCATGCTATTTGTATTTAATAGATTTTCTGTTAAACCGGTTTGGAAATCATTCTTCCAAAAACCGAGTTCTGACTTTTGGGAAGCACTTAAATTAGCTATTCCAATGATTATCATGATTACTCTTACCTTATCTTGTCCTATTGTTGTATCTGGATTCTTTGTTCAAGCAGCGAAGAATATTAACAAAGAAAAGATCATTACTACTGTTTATTCGACTGCAAACAAAGCATATAATATGTTAGTTGCATGTACAACAGGAGCAATGACAGGTTTTGTTCCAGCAGCAACTTGGGCATACACTAAAAGAGATTACTCAAGAGTTACAAAGTTAGCTTTTAATACTTTGATTCTTCCTGGAATACTTATTGCATCTGTTTGGCCTTTGATGATCTTTAAGCCAAAAACCATCCTCAAAATATGGATTGATGATCAAGAAATGTTAAGTTGGGCTCCAAAGCTAGCTCCAATTGTATTTTACACAATAGTTTTTGATCCATCTTCTTATATTTTATCTATGCTTTTATTGTTAACAAAACATGAAATTCTTTGTTCTTTAGGTATGATTTTAAGGAATGTTGTCTTATTATTAAGTGGAGTAATTTTGTATGAAACAAATAAGTTCAGACCTTGGAATATATTGTATAGCAGCACATGTCAAGATTTAGCATACTTATTAACCAATTTATTATGCGTGTTATTTACAATAAGAAGGCAGAGAAGAGAATTAGATGATTATCAGCAAATTTCTTCTAATCTTTTATCAGAAGAAAATTAAGAATATACAATATCATGCACTATCTCAGACAATATATTAAATAAACATATTTTATATCAAAATTCTTTTATTTCTTATTAATTCCTGTATGGTGCTGTAATATTCATGCAATAATCCCATAGCTTTTGCTCGCGTTCTTCTGTGTATGTTTTCTCATATATTTTATCTTCTCCTTTAGGACCGAAGTACTTTCCTGAAATGCCTTCAAGTGTGGGCGATGTTGCAGCGAATATCTCGGGGTCTGCTGCTTCAGCCATTGTATTATTGAATGGCTTGAACACGGTGTAAAGGAACTTCATTCCGAAGCCTTTTGTTGACTCTCTTCCGAGGTTTGTCGTGGTCGATCCAGGATGGACAAGGTTGAATGTAACATTCTTGATTCCTTGTCTTTCAACTTCTTTTATGAAATGTCTCATTATCCAGATGACATAAAGCTTCGAAAGTCCATAGGATCTTGTGACAGAATAGTTCTTATTCATCTCAAGGTCTTTGAGGTCTGGTTCTCCTCCAAGATTGTGGCTTGCTGATGTTGTAGTTACAACTCTTCCGCTCTTCGATTTCTTGAGTGAATCAAGCAATAGTGTTGTGAGTAAGAAGGGAGCATATGTGTTAATCATCATTGTTTTCTCATAACCTTCTTTTGTAAGCTGTCTCTCTGTTCCAAACTGGGCCCCAGCATTATTAATGAGAACATCAATGTGGTCATATTTCTCTTTGATTTTATCTGCAAATTCCTTGATTGACTTGAAATCTAAGAAATCAGCAAGGAAATAATCGACTTTTTCGTTCCCCGATTCTTTCTTTACTTCCTCATATGCTTCTTTTGTCTTTTCAGGATTTCTACCGTGCATTATGATTGTATGCTCCTGTTTCGCAAGTATTTTAGCGGTATATCTTCCGATTCCATCAGAAGAACATGTGATGACAATAATCTTTGATTGCATCAATAAAAAATGAAGTAAAATTTTTTATTGAATATTTATTTCCCGATATTCATTCTGAAATTTTTCTATATGTTCAGAAAAATTTGAAAGGCAAAAAAAATGAAAAAAATTTTCGTCAATGGCTAGAATAATGTATGCTTTTACATCGACATGATAATTTTATATTTATCCGTTACATTCATTAGTCAATATTCTTTTGAAAACAACTGTGAATTTGTTATTTGACAAAACTAATGCAAAAATAAGAAAGTATTCTAAATGTATCAATATACTAAATGTATCAGTAATCAGTACAAACGCAAGCTAACATGGCAATTAATAAATAAAATCACATTTAATAATCAAACAATATTTTTTAGAAAAAATATCATGGTTTTGATATATCAAATATCATCAATATTAGTACATATCATGTTAAAATTGAAGTTAATACATGTAATTTTAGTGAACTCCTGATGATTCCTTTTAAATTAAGAAAAAAAAAATAAATCAAAGCATAAAATGAAATGCATTAAGTATAGAAATACAATGTTATAAATTAATGAGTCGCCATAAAAAAAAAAAAAAAAAAAAAAAAAAAAAAAGGTAGTGGGGCTCCCAGGCACTTCGTGCCTTCTAGCCCTGAGGATGAATGGTATAATGAAGTTTTTTTTTCTTGGGGTGGGCTTCCAGGCACTTCGTGCCTTCTAGCCCACATAAATGAAGTTTTTATTCGGAAAATTGTTATTCTTTATATAAATGTTTTGTCAAGACTTCTTCGTAAATGTTTTGTCAAGACTTCTTCGTAAAGACTTTGTCAAGACTTCTTCATCGTAAATGTTTTGTCAAGACTTCTTCATCGTAAATATTTTGTTGAGATTTCTTCGTAAATGTTTTGTCAAGACTTCTTCGTAAAGACTTTGTCAAGACTTCTTCATCGTAAATGTTTTGTCAAGACTTCTTCATCGTAAATATTTTGTTGAGATTTCTTCGTAAATGTTTTGTCAAGACTTCTTCATCGTAAATGTTTTGTCAAGACTTCTTCGTAAAATCAGACAAAAATATATTTTATGTTAGAATGTTAGATCTAACCTCTTTTCTAACCTCTTTTCTAACATCGTAGAAAACTCATGATTTCTTCGTAAATGTTTTGTCAAGACTTCATCGTAAAGACTTTGTCAAGACTTCATCGTAAAGACTTTGTCAAGACTTCTTCATCGTAAAGACTTTGTCAAGACTTCTTCGTAAAGACTTTGTCAAGACTTCTTCATCGTAAATGTTTTGTCAAGACTTCTTCATCGTAAATGTTTTGTCAAGACTTCTTCATCGTAAATGTTTTGTCAAGACTTCTTCATCGTAAATGTTTTGTTGAGATTTCTTCGTAATGAGCGTAAATGACCCAAAAATAATGTTTGTGTTAGAATGTTAGATCTAACACGTTTTCTAACATGTTTTCTAACATCGTAGAAAACTCATGATTTCATCGTAAATGTTTTGTCAAGACTTCTTCGTAAATGTTTTGTCAAGACTTCTTCATCGTAAATGTTTTGTTGAGACTTCTTCGTAAAGACTTTGTTGAGATTTCTTCGTAAAATCAGACAAAAATAATGTTTATGTTAGAATGTTAGATCTAACCTCTTTTCTAACCTCTTTTCTAACCTCATGAATTTTCATGAACTTTCTTTACAAAGTCTTTACGATGAAGAACTTTACAAAGTCTCAACAAAACATTGACAAGAAAGTTCATGAGAAAGACTTTACAAAGTCTTTACGATGAAGAACTTTACGAAGAAATCTCAACAAAGTCTTTACGATGAAATCTCAACAAAGTCTTTACGATGAAATCATGAAAATTCAAGAGGGTAGAAAACATGTTAGAAAAGAGGTTAGATCTAACATTCTAACATAAAATATATTTTTATTGAATTCCGTATGAAATTTCATGAGTTTTGTATGTTTTAGACCATGTTAGAAAACATGTTAGAAAAGAGGTTAGATCTAACATTCTAACATAAAATATATTTTTATTGAATTCCGTATGAAATTTCATGAGTTTTGTATGTTTTAGACCATGTTAGAAAACATGTTAGAAAAGAGGTTAGATCTAACATTCTAACATAAAATATATTTTTATTGAATTCCGTATGAAATTTCATGAGTTTTGTATGTTTTAGACCATGTTAGAAAACATGTTAGAAAAGAGGTTAGATCTAACATTCTAACATAAAATATATTTTTATTGAATTCCGTATGAAATTTCATGAGTTTTGTATGTTTTAGACCATGTTAGAAAAGAGGTTAGAAAAGAGGTTAGATCTAACATTCTAACATAAACATTATTTTTATTGAATTCCGTATGAAATTTCATGAGTTTTGTATGTTTTAGACCATGTTAGAAAAGAGTTAGAAAAGAGGTTAGATCTAACATTCTAACATAAACATTATTTTTGGGTCATTTACACTCATTTACGAAGAAATCTCAACAAAGTCTTTACGAAGAAGTCACAACAAAACATCTGTCAAAAACCGCTTTTTAACTTCACTTAAAATGCCACGTAAGCTACGTAAGAATATACGTAAGAGGAAGAGAGCATTGAAACATCCAATAGTAAAACTGACACCACAACAACAGTTGCAACAACAAATGCTGAATGACCCCACTATGTTGCAACAAATGTCAAGCAACCCTATGCTTTTAAACCGAGTTCTTGGGCACAGAGTGGAGGTTTAAGAGCGGCACTTTTAGCGAAAATGGCAGGCTATGGTGGAGCTGCAGACGGAACAGCCTATAACCCTCAAAGTCAAATGAATTGAGTTCACTCAAAAATCAAATAACAGATGTCAAAAAGTCAAACATAGACATACAGAAGCAAATAAGTGAAAAACGAAAAGAAACTAGAATATGACAGACACACAAAGAAACTCAATGAGTTAAACGTAGAGAAAAAGAAGAAAGAAGAACAACTGAAAGAACTAAGTACAGAGGAATATGCGAAAAAAGTGTCAGAAAAAGCAACAGAAGTAGCAAAAATGGAACAAGATGTCATAAATTTGAAAAACCATACTACTCAATATAAAATACTGAAAGATGAAGAGATAAAACAAAAAGCCCTGAAGACATATATGGATAGCGATGAGTATAAAAAAGAAGTTGAAGCAAATGTAAAGGCAGAAAAACTTTTACAGTTGCAAAACCAAACCGTACAGTATGAAAACTTAGCACAAGAAAGTAAAAATAACGACGCGGCTATGCAAAAGGCAATGAAAAGCGCAGAATATATAAAAGCCAACAATGACTGGTTAGATGCCCAAGCCAACGCTAAAGCAGCCCAACTCATAGGGTCAATAAGGACAAAAATACAAGCGGATGAAGACAGTTCAAATGAAGCTTTAACAAATGCTGACTTTAAGAACGCCTTCGAAGCTCTTCATAGTAAGGTGAAACAAGTGAACGACTTCTCATCTGGAAAGAAACTGAAGTCTGAAGGTTTCGACAACGAGTTAAGAGAAGTAGCACAAAATATGACGAAAATAACAGATGCAGCAACGAGACAGGCAGTTCAAAGTGCCTATGACGCCGTTAGAGCAACTGTTGTGAAAAGTCAAGAAAAAGAGTTACAACAGACCAAAACAGACCTAGTAAATGCTTTCTTAAAAACGAAAAGTCAGGTAGGACATTACGCTGCAGATGGAACATATGTGCCAGCTGGTGGAACTTATATACCACCAAACCCTCCAAGAGAAGCACCTGCACCAGGACTACCTAACACATTTACATCGTCACATGGACACAGACACAGGCATGCACAACAACCAGCACAACAACAACAACAACAACCAACACAACAACCACAAACAGAGCAAGGACATAAAAGAAGTAGAGAACAAGGAAACCAAGAATTCTTAAAAATGCTTAAAGAAGAGTGTGGTTTTCCAGATACTGTTGACTTTAGTGACAGATATAAAGAAGCTATTAGAAAGTTCAAGGATGGAAATACTGACCCGAACCTATTTAGCTTTATGGCTCAGCACCAAAACGGATATAATCTCAAACTGGAAAATACAAGCTCGCTAAGGATATGATTTAATAGCATATCATCAAATGACATGGATGAATTTACTCCGAGATATTTGATGTCAGAGCTAAATGACAATTCAACTTCGTCATGAAACGCGTAAAAAATAGAGACGGAACGAAAGAACAAAAGCTTATGAATGCGGATGACGTAGATAGGGAAATTGTTGAAAACGGTCTCGGAATATATGAAATGCCAGCAGATGAGGTACAAGAAACTCACAGGAAGAAGTTCAGATACAACCAGACATGGAAGAAATAGTTCAGCAACAACAGCTAGAAGAGCCTGAAGGAAACGAACAAGTCCCTCCTTTGGAAACTAACTTCACAGAACTAGATGAAGATTTGGAACAGCCGAAAAATCTTGACCCTCAACAAGAGTATGCGGAGAATATGGAATATTTCCAAGAGTCTAAAAAAAAATTCGGCTGACATAGTAGAAGAATATCGAAAAATGTTTGCCGACATACAAAAGACTCCAACATCAGATGAAAATATCCAGCATAGAATGGAAGAACTGAAAAAAAATGTACACAAATACAACAACACCTTTTTACTTACGAGCATTTAACGTTCAATCTTCCGGATGAACTCGGTGAAGATAAAAGGTTAAATTTCAAGAAAACATATAGAAATGAAACATTGTTTAAAGTTCATTCAGAACCTAACCAAGATGGAAACAAACCTACTTTTGTTTCTGCAGACGATGGAACTACAATGAGATGGGGTCATAAAGCTAATCCAGATAGGTGGTTCATAAACTTACAACCACAATTCCAAGAAGTTGTAGACGCAATGGAAGTCAATGGTGAACCAGATATAGCTGGTATTTTAAGCGCGGCTTTAATGCCATTGAAAGATATGAAAGATGCAGATATTTTGGACCAGTATGAAATGAACATGGCTGATGGAAATATAACACCTGACGTTCTAGAACATTTATCTCAAAGAACTACACAGAACCATAGAGATGGTATATTTGGTGAAGAGTTTAGAAAGAAAGTTAGGGAGGGAGAAGGAAGAAACCTATTGTACATGACCTTGCAAACGAAAGTTTACAAAATGTCATAAAAACTTACTTTGCAGGCGATGAATCGAGAAGGGATGAATATTTAAGAAAACTCAAATGGACAGTACCAAATGAAATGTTAGTATTGAAAAACATGTTCCTTGACAAATAAAAACCAACTACAGAAATAAACGACGCAAGACTGAAAGATTGGGTAGAAGCTTTCCCATTCACAAAAGATATAGTTGGTAACATGGAAAGAAAACCAGAATGGCTACAAAAACATATATTTGGAAACGAGCATATTCCATATGGACAGGCACTGTTTGAAGAGCTTGAACCAGAAACTCAGGAAAGAGTCATGAAACAATACGCGAAGACTCAAATACAGACTATGACAAACTCTTTCTAGGATATAGGTTACCTGAGATGGGCGACCAGAGCCAAAAGGCAAAAAGGAATGGAAATTTGCAACATACTAGATGAACATAATGCAAAGATGCAACAACTTCAAGCAGAGGGCAATGAAGGAAAAGAAGAGTTAAAACTCAGTCAGGAAGAAAGTAAAGCTTGGTCCACGTGGGTTCTATTATGACAATATAAATCCAACTATTCTATATTTTACTCATATGAAATGTACGCCGCTCAGAATATAACGCCAACAGTTTTTGGATGCCATGAACGGAAATGTTTCCGAATGGTATAACGAATGCGACAATGCCATTAGAAGGTCAGAAATAGTTCCTGGAACTTACGAATATACAACTGCTGTTTCTTATGGAAACGTAGGTGAGTTGGAGAAGGTTCTTTCAACAACAGTAGATATTGCTTGCGACAGGTTTCATATTATTTCTATTGACAACTCTTTCTTATACGTGGAACAAGACATTGAAATAAAACCTTCTTCCAAGTTGTCTGACAAGAAAGGTTGCAATGGAATTTTCTATGTCGGATACCAATATGCTCCAGAAGTTTTCATGGATATAAGATATATTCTAACTCTGACTTAGTTCAAACAGTAACATGGGCAAACTATGAATGGTTCGCTTTGAGAACTCAGTACAACCACAAGCTAGAGAACAAACAGACCAATATGCAACTATTGAGAAAATAAGAAGACTTGACCCTAACGTTCCAGGAGTTTATGTTGACCTTTCTGGACAAACTGCAGCAGCAGTAACCAAAGTAAAACTGAAACTTAGAGTTCCTTTGTCATCTTTCCTCATCTTCAGGTTTTTAAGATACTTGCCAAACTGGGCAGGAAAAATTTCTATCGAACTTACTCCAAGCAAAAATAACTTAGTCATTGCACCAACACAAGACCCATTCACTCTTACAGAAGTAGTGGGAAACAAATCAAACGTCATTCGCCGAATTTTGCAAAGACAAAGTTGACTTAGACTTTGGTTTCTCAAACCTCAACACTGAAGTAAACTATTATTTCAATGCTGCTGGAACTGCTTGGGACCCAGTTAAGTTCACATGCGAAAAATTTGAATGCAAGAGAATAGAAAGCAGACTTGCAGTCTAATGTTGGACCCAGATATTTCAAATGCTTTAGCTGCCAAATATATTGCAGTTCCACTTATGTTCCCTATACACCAAATATCTGTCAAAGACTTTGCAGGTGAAGTTGGAAACCAAAGTGCTGACCCAGGTGCAAGAACAGATATTGCTTTAACAACTGCAATAAACATGCAGATACTATGTTTGTACTGTTCAGACGAACTATAAATGACTATTCTTGCTTCTACAACCCTGGTATTAAATACCATATAAACATAGATGGCAAATACTATCCAAGAGAAGAATATTCTACAGTTGAGGATATGAGGTCATACAACTTGACATTAGATGCTATGACTTTAACAACAACTTCACAACAACCATTAACCCTGAAATGCAAAGTCTATTATGCCATATGTGAAAGTATGGACTCATACAGGAGCTCAAAAAACTCAATATACAAATGGAACCGTTCAAACTTTTGGCTTGGCATTCCATTTGCTGACTCAGAAGACTTTATGGGTGGTATTTCAACTGTTGGTACAGTTCAAATACAATATACTGGTGACAGAGACGGTCCAGATGAATTGAAAGCAAAGAAGTTTACAAAACCAATAGCACTTTTCACGGAAGATGCTCTTTTGAAGATTCGTTCGATGAAACCTGCTGGAGCTCCTCAGATTGGTATAACGACAGCTTCCATCGAGCAGATTTTGGCAGCAGGTCAGTAAGTTGTTCTTGAACTGACTTCTCTCCGTCAAATATTGACAGTACGCCAGTTTTGACATAAAATTGTATTATAAACTTACCTTTAGAAATATCTGTAAGTTTTGTTGTTATATTTTTGTCTGCTTCAAGAACTTTCACCATTTCAGTTATACCAACTTTCTTTGCTTTATGAAAATATTTTGGTTCAGCAAAGACTGCTATTCTATAACATTTACCATTGTTTGTATAAAGAACTATTCTGTCAATGTATTTGTATTGTTTGTGTGTGTAAACTTTGTTTTGCTTCAATTCGAAGAGATACTCAAATACGTCCATCTTTTTATTCTAAGTAAAATGTCATTTCCGAAAAATAGAAGCGTAAGTGTTTCAAAAGGTTTAATGGCGGTGGCAGATGTGAAGTTAAATTCACCAACTCAAACAAACAGTCAAAGTGTTGTTGTCAATGTCAAAGAAAGAGATGTTGAAGTGGGGAAACCATACGAAGACGAAGATGTAAACAATTGTTCCTGTAAAAGAACCAACATATCCTGAAGTTAACAGAGACTTAAGTTCTGTTGCAGATATTCGAAACGACTACCAACAACTGAAAGACAAACTTCAAACTCAGGAGAGATTTGTCAAGCTTTAAGTATAATGTTAAACTTGGTCGAACACAACCCTGTAAAAAGTGAACTCATATGTCATTGCACCTCATGAAGTTTTGAAAGAACTATTGAAACTTTTGACAGAGGCAGACGATATAAACATCAAAGAAATAGAACCGACATTAGTTGCTGTGGTGTTTCATATAATGCCATTGACAAGATATACGTTATGAAAGGAGGTGAAACGTTGAACTTAAAATATAGTTTCCCAGACGTCATAAAAATATTTGACGACCACAACATTTCATTAAAATTTAGTTGCTAAGTAAATGGCAGAAGACATAGTGGTTTATACTATTACGACTAAAAACCCTGAGTCATATAATTCTATATAACAAACAAACTTACAAAGTCCTCAAGGACGATATTGTAAACTGACCTTAAAACACGATGACGACTAAAGCCTGTTTTGCTCTTTTGACACCAGAAGACTTTGTTGTTGTGAATGGTAAAAAATACTTCTTTGAAGATACTTACTCAGATATACCACCAACAGTTTTGTTGACTTATTTAATACTTTAAGGACGGATGTAACATGTGCTGCAACTAGAGCAGGTTTCATTATGTTTGGATGTCCGACTGAGTTTAGTATAAACGATATGAGCTATAATACAAAACTTATATCTGGTTTTTACTACCAACAGTTTCCTATAACAGGAAAAGGTGTCATACAAGGTCTATCCGTTCCATTGACTTTAAGTACACCTATTTTATATATTGTTTCAAACTTAGGTTCAAAGTGCTATTCGAATATCGACAGAAACTACTATGACCAAAAGATACTCATGCGTATAAACAATACTTTCTCTGCTGGTTTGCCTATTGTTCATTCGAATGCAGAATTTTCAACCTTAGTGAACTCAAACACTTTAGCAAACATAACGTTGACATTAGTCGACGCAAACTTTGTTCCTGTAAAACTTTTATGTCCTATGTATTTGTCAATGACGGCAGAAAGTTTCGAATTGGAAGATGCAACTGGTGAAAGTATTGTACTACAAGAACAACTTCAACAACAAATAGCTCAAGAACAACAAATGCAACAAATGGAACAAATGCAACAACAAAGTCAAGAATAAAAAATAGCTCAAGAATAAAAAAAATCTTTTTTTATTTTATTTGAAATGTACGCTGAGTTTGTTGGAAAAGACTGTTGGGAAACTTGTTTGTTAGATGAGAAATATGAAATTCACTGTTGTGAGTCATTTGAAGTCAGAAACAAAAAGACAAAAAGAGTTTTAAGCGGATGGGAGCGAAATGACGGATATGCTATGATGAGGATGGGTGGAAAAAACTATTTTAAACATATTGTCATTGCAACTCATTTTATACCGAACCCTAACAATCTACCTCTTGTAGACCATATAAACCATATAAGAAACGACAATAGACTTGAGAACTTGCGTTGGGTCACATGTTCTGAAAACAATAAGAACATAGGCAAATTTCGAGATATTGTATTCGAATTTGTCGACGAACTAGAAGATGAAGCAATTGAAATTACAGACTATGGCAAGCATGCGTTTGAGTTTTACTACTACAGCGAAGAACAAGACTCTTTCTACTTTTATACCGGCGTAAACTATAGGAATTACAAGTATATTTACTAAGACGGGCTATGCTCATGTAAACGCTAGAGATACAGATGGAAAATACGTTCGAATACTTCTTAACAAATTCAAGAAGCTATATGGCATACCATTTTAAAACGTTTTTTAAAAAAAATATTTTTTTATCCGATAGAAAAGATGACGAAATATATTTCAGTAAACAAGTACATGTCAGGACTTAAAGAAGAACTAGACCCATTCATATATTTGAATGTTTACTTCTACCATTTTGAAAAGTCTTCATTTGACAAAGTTTGGAACATCGAACCGGTTAAGTTTGCTATTGTGACTAAAAATGGTGCGAAATTTGAAGACTTAGACATAGAAGGTTTGTTAGCAGTCAAAGAAAATTTTGACAGAAGGTTTTCAAACCTTAAAGAAGGCAAAGCATACAAACTTGTTATACCTTATGAACCAAAGAAAGCAGACGACTATGAATATTATGAGTCTAAGATAGTTGAAGTTCAAGGTAAATTGGGTAAAAAGATTTTAGAGTCTAAGCCAGTGTTTGCTCCTAAAGAGGAAGAGAACATTGACATTGACCCAGAAATGTTCTAAAAATAAAATTTTATTTTTACATGTCATATCTCCCCTTCTCTGGCTCTGGCTCTGGCTCTTTCTTCTCTTCTTCTACTTTCTTTTCTTTCTTTTCTTTCTTTTCTCTCTTCTTCTTCTCTGGTGGAGTTATGTCAAACTTCTCAGAACCATATTTATGTAAAAGTTCTTTGTCCTTTAATAGCTCTTCTATTCTGTTTCCTATTTCATCTTCAAGAACAGCGCATGTGTCTTCTTTGCATTCTAAGAACTTTTGTTGGACTTCATCTTTCCAATCGGCGTCATCTCTGTCAACAAGTCTGTCATTGACAAACTTAAAGACTTCTCTGCCTAATGTTTTATGGTTCTTGTCATATTCCCAGAAACAGAACTTTAGAACAAATTCCCCTTTCTTGTTTACACTATGTAAGATTTTATGGTCGACAGATGTTTTGCTGTCGAAAAGCTTGTCTCGAATATAGATAGCGAAATCGCTAGACATTTTCAAAAAGATAAAAATTTTAATTTTTCTAAAAATATGTTAGAAAAAAAGTTTGCTGACATTGACAAGAAATTTGAGAATGTTTTAAACAAGAACAAGAGGAAGTTAGAAAATGCTCAGATAAAACCCATACATGACAAGTTCTTATTTGCTCAGAATGGTATAACAGGTCTAATTGCACCGCCTGGTCGGGTAAGACTTTCACTTATCTTAAAATGGCTGCACAACAACAAGAACTAGATGAGAAGAACCCATTTTATGAGTTAGTTGTCATTTGTAGTACTTCGGGTCAATTTGACCAAACCGTCAATTCGTTCAAAGATATTATAAAAAAGTCTAAGTTAGTATGTATAAAAGACTCTGAGTTGTTAGATTGGATAAAGAAGTACCAAAGAAGAGTTTTGAAGTATAATGCTATAAATGAGTATATAAATTCTAAGTTCAAAGACCCAAATGAGGAAATGCAGAGAATATTAGAGAAGAAACACTTCAGAAACAAACAGAAAGAGATAGAATACATTTCGAAGAAATTGCAATCTTACGATTGGAAGACATACCCTCATAGATGTCTTCTTATCTTAGATGACTTTGCTTCTCATCCTTTGTTAAAGAACAGAGAACAAGATATGTGTCGAATTCTTAAGAAGCTCAGACACTTTAACATCTCAGTTGTCATTTGTGTACAGACAGCAAAGAGTTTAAGTAAGGATGTTAAAAGAATACTTACTGACATTATACTTTTCCCTGGATTGTCCGAAGACGATTTCATGGAACTTATGAAAGAGTCCATGGCAGGTAAGTTTGACAGACATGAACTATGGGAGAAGTACAAAGTCATACAAGACCCTCATACTTCTTTCAGAATTCATATCTACGCAAACAAAGTTCAAATTGTAAAAAGTCAGCAAAAATAAAGAGTGCAATTTACTCTGCTTGTTTGAAGTTGTCAAAATACTCTGTTATTTTTCACTGTTTTCATAGAGTTTTGGCGACTGGGGTTTCTTCCCTACTCGCTGTGCTTCACGATTTTCATACGGAATCTCTATCCTCGGTTTTTCGAGGGTAGCAATCTTATGAGGAAATTCATGAAATTTGGTCATTTTTCAGCAAAAATAATGTTTATGTTAGAATGTTAGATCTAACATGTTTTCTAACACGTTTTCTAACATGGTCTAAAACACACAAAACTCATGAAATTTCATACGGAATTCAGTAAAAATAATGTTTATGTTAGCATGTTAGATCTAACATGTTTTCTAACACGTTTTCTAACATAACTATTTACAAGCGTTTTACATGGTATATGTTGCGATGGTTCATGACTCTAAACAATTTTGTAGCTTCTATTTCTTCTGTCAGTACATCGAATGTTTTAACGATACCGAAAGTTTCTTTATACTTCTTCTTGACATCAGATAGAAGGAAATCTTCTGCAGTTGGATAGTTTTTGTTCAGAAATGCTAACATGTCCATTTTATCTTCTGCTGGCTTTTCTGCTTCTTTCTTTAAGTCTGCATAGTCGTTTCTCATACGTTCTATCTCTTTGACGGAGTAGTTATATTTCCTCATTGCTGCTTTACATTTAGAACATTGCGGGTTCATTTTTGCGTTATATTCTGAAACCTTACCTGCTAAAACAACTAAGGCGTCAATGGTTTTCTTCATCTCGAACATAGCGGGTTTTATTTGTTCGTTCCATACCTTACCCCTACTATCTTTATCTCTTATTTCCCAAACACATTTTGCAACTAACGAAACAAAGTTGTCGTAGGTCTTAAATTCTTCGGATTTGTAAAGGTCAGAGATGTTCTTATATACCATGTCGCAATCTTTGTCCATAACCTTATGGTTGCAATGAAAACCAAGGAATTCATAATTTACCTTTCGTATGAACTTCTTTATTTCTACTGAGTCAGTTGCTTTGACTTCTATTTCGTCAAATTCGGGAATGGTTAGTTTTTGTTGTTGGATTTCAGGCAATTTGGGTAAATGGTCAATAATGTCCTGCATTTCATAAAGATACTGTTCATTTGTTTCATCTTTCGCACTACAGTCTAAATTACTTGTTAAAAGTTCTTGCTTTATCTTCTGGATTTTTGTTTCGAAAGTATATGAAGAAGGAATGAAGTTTTTCATCTCTACTAACATAGATGTTGGATTCATAACTAGCGAGTTTGGTGCTGTTGTTGCTAACATGTTCTTACAATAAAAATAAAAAAATATTTTTTTAAAAAAACCAACTTTATTTTTTATTTTTGGTGTAAATTTCATGAAAATTCAAGAGTTTTAGACCATGTTAGAAAACATGTTAGAAAACATGTTAGATCTAACATTCTAACATAAACATTATTTTTGCTGAAAAAGTGTCATTTTTTCATGTCCGAAGACTCGAAGGTGCAACACTTCCAAAATACCGACGAACTCAGAAGAGCAGCATGGCAGTATCTTCTTGACAACTTCTTTGAGTTCTCCAGGAACACCTTGGAAAATGCTGAAGAACTCCGACACAGAGAATTTGGAGAAATTGCACTCCAATACTACCTTGACAAACAAAGGGTAAACAAAGGGTAAACAAAGGGTAAAATAAGACTAAAAACTTAACGTTTAAAAAGTGACATTTTTAATGAGCTCCGAGTCACCGAGAAAACTTGGTCAGATGTTAGCAGCTTACTTCCCTGAGGAGGATGGAAGCGTTACATACGTAAGGTTCAAAAACAACGAACCTGGAATTGCGTACCAAATTCGCAATTACATGACCATGGAAGAGTACGAAAGGTTCCTACAAGAGAAACCAGCTCTAAACAACTCAGAAAAGAAAGAATAAAAAGTTTAACTCGTAATTGTTTATTTTTTTACTTGTATGGGCAAGCTGCAAGAATGAAGTCGACTATCTCAGTCTTTGTCTTGACCAGTTGGACTGCTCTTGCGAGTACGTCTGTTTTGCGGTCTCCAGCTGGTGTCTGACCTTCGTAATTGCGCATGTTCTTGAGAGCTCCAACTGTAAATGGTTGTAGGATGAAGAGTCTTCAGACTGCTTGAGGTAGTCTTCACGGTCACGAACCGAATCTGTGGTACGAGTCGAATCGGTCGATTTGAGGGAAGAGACTGAAAGCCTGTCGTCTTCCATAGGGGCTGTGGCATAATCTTGCGTAAGCGGTTCAGACCTTCTTCGAACTCTTGGTCTCTCTTCGATTTGGATTGAGATTGGAATTGCTGGGGTGGAGCTTGCTGGAACATCCAAGGGTTGGGGAAGTAAGGCATAGGCTGAGGAGGGTAGTTCGGGAAGCCTTGTGTGGGTAGTAACCTTGAGGTGGAAATTGGTAGTAAATCGGAGGTACTTGCTGGAACTGAGGTGCAGGGGCTGGTGCTTTAGGTTCCTCTGGTTTGGGAATGGGCTCGGTTGGTGGGACGTCGGACATTCGTTTGTGGCTTAACCGTCGGACCACAACGATAAAAATCTCTGCTCCTAGCAGTACTGCTACTGACAGTAGCAGTACTTTTCTGACAGTAGCAGTACTTTTTCTGACAGTAGCAGTACTTTATCGTCGAAACCCTCTCAAATTTTCCTTTTTTACTGCTCGTAGCAGTACTTTTACTGCTCCTAGCAGTACTGCTACTGAACAGTAGCAGTACTTTTACTGACAGTAGCAGTACTTTTTCTGACAGTAGCAGTACTTTTACTGACAGTAGCAGTACTTTTACTGACAGTAGCAATGGTCGAGGTCGAACCTACCGACGAGGCAATTTACCTAATTGAAATTAACGAGCTTGTTAAAGACTTCCTCAGGCAGAATGTAAAAGGCAAGCTTGTTAACTGTTGGATAACGGGAAGGGCTGCCTTGAATCTCGAGACTTCGACTGGAATTCCAATTCAAATACCAGACGGGACAGCCTACGACGACATAAAGCAAGCAAAGAAAGAAGCTCTTCTCAAGTTCTTTGCCAAGCGTCCTTGGATACAACTTCCAACCAGAGAGAACCCTTTCCCAAGAATGAGCCAAATTCTCAAGGGTCTCCTTCACTTCTCGGGTCAGCCGTTCTACATAACCTGTGAAGGCGACATCCAACCAGTTCAGTAAACCTTAACGTTTAGAGTAAAAACATTTTTTCATTTTTTGAATGAAGCAAGTTAAATTCGTCCCACACCAATCTCAATGGACCGATGAAGAGTTTCAAGCTATAGTTGAAGGCGTTGAGAACGACATAGACGGCGAACTTGAAGGAGCTCAAATCACAATTGCAACCAAAATTGCAGAGGTCAAGGAACAGATAGCTCCACTTAAAGCTACCAAAGCTACTCTTGACCTCATGGATAGTTACCGTTTAGATGTCAAGAGTGGAATAAGACAATTAAAATTGAAACTTCTAAACTACGAAGCTATACTCCAAAAGTTAGCAGAAATGAGAAGACTTTACCAGAGCTACTTACATGTAAGGGACTTACCTTCAAGCAGTCCGACCAAAGATGAATTTTCTGACATTGTCCCAATTTTGTCCGAAAGTCAGCTCAGATGTTTTGAACTGCTCCCAACATATCCAGAATATGAACGTTTGCCTGAACTCTTTCGCAATCTCAAAAAACGTTTTTTGGTTCTCATGTTCGAAACTTTTATCGGAAGAGACAACAAACGTTCAGAAGAAGAACAAGATATTATTTTAAACTTGTTGTATGACTTAACCGTCATAACAAGCTTTTTGAAGTAAAACCGTCATTCTCAAACCACTTCATTTTTTCGATGTCCGAACAAGCACCGAAGCCGAACACAATGGCAGATGTCCTTTCAATGTTGCCAGACAAGCGCCCAGTTCAAATTCAAATTTTGAATTTGAAAGCTCATCTGACAAACACCGTTAAGACTCTCCAAAGTAGTCTTATGGAAGAGATGACCAAGCTCAAAGCCGATGTCCTCATGAACCAAGCTTCCAATGAGAAATGCCTGAATGATTTGACGGAAACCTTGCGCATTTACGCGAGAGAGAACCGAGACCTTGCCAGACTCATCTACCGTTTCTTCGAAGAGATAGATGCCATCTGGAAGGTACTCGGAAAGGACAGAACATGCAACACCGTAATTCGTGAGTACCAAATTGAAGAAGGAATTGTCGAGGAAGAAGAGGAAGAAAAGAAACACGAAGAAGAAGAGGAAGAAGATGAAGAAGAGAAACACGAAGAAGAGGAAGTTTGGGCAACCCTTGTTGCCGATGACGCTTACGAAATTTCCCAACCCTACCCATACCAAATCCGCAACAAGGAGACAGGCAAGGTTCTTACCCCAGTCCTCAACAACTTGGGACACTTGAACCTTAACCTTCGGAATCGCGGTTCAATCTCCATGGGCAAGCTTGTCGCAATTCAATGGGTTCCAAATCCAGACAAGAAGACGAGGGTCAGACACATTGACGGTGACAAGCTCAACAACCGTAAGGAGAACCTCGAGTGGTTCTAAGAGTAAAAAAATTTTATTTTAGGGGGAAACCCCAAGTAAATTTAAGTTTTTAGTTGCGTAAGCGGCTTAAATTAATGGTCATTTGCAAAATTAGTTCCTGACCTCTGAATTGAACTCTTTCGTCATCCCAGTTGCGTAGGAGGTCGTCCCAGAGGAGTTGGTAGAATTGCCAATCCAAGGACGATTTGTCCTCCCAGGCATTGAGGATGTACTGCTCGTAGAGTCTCATGACCTCTGCCTTGCACCAGACACCCTCTCCCTTGGAACGTAAGGCTTCTTCGAAGTGCTCGAATGCGATTGGCTGCGGGACCATCCGAAATGACACTTTTTGTCCGTTTGGTCAATGTTTGTGTCTCGTGCCATAGTCGACGAAAATACAAACAAACAGGTTATATATGAGTTTGAGACCAAGAATGGTGTAACTCGACCTGTCCGATTCAAATTCGAATAAAAATTTTTTATTTCATGCAATGTTTAACTATTTCACCATCTTCTTTAACACCCCAGTACTTCCTTTTCGATATTACATGAACTTCGGTGAAAATTTTGTCCAATTTGAATTGACCCATCTTCTCACCGACCATTCCCATTTCAATGAGTTTGTTGTATCCTTCTTCGTTCGTCATGAGTGCGTCAATGTTCTCATAGTAAACCTTCACTTTGGATTTGACCTCAGAGAAGAATTTGTTGTAGTTGTCAAGGACTGCCTTTGCGAACTGAGGGTAAGACCAATGTTCGACAATAGGTTTTAATGTGGTTACTAAGCCACTTTGACCTTGAGTGAATTCGTACTTCAAAACAAAAGGAGAAAACCTTTCAACAAAGTTGTCGACCTTCTCATAATGTTTACTCTTCATCTCTTGAGGTTTTTAATGGAATATCCCCATGTCGAATTCATAAGCAATTTCAGTGTCATTGCGAGTTTGGGGTTTGAAGCTTTCCTAATATCATAGAGTTGTTGTATGACTTTTCCAACTGTATAGTTCCTTCCTGGGAACTCTCCATCTTCGTTTGGAATTCCAGTCGGGATATATTGGACAAACCTCATGTATGCAGCGTTAAGGTCGACATAGTATATCTTTTCATCTGAGTCGAACTTGTCGCAACCAATTGGTCCAGTTTGTGGAAATTCAAGTGAGTCTCTTATCTTCTGAGAAACTTCTCCTGTTATCTCATAAACATCGTCGAAGCAACCTGTTTCATATAAAACCTTCTGACCTAACTCAGATGCTCTCCAATACAATTTGACGTCAATTGGATGTCTCAATGGAAGTTTGTTTATAGCATCTTGAAGTTCTTGCAACCTCATTGGAAGTTCTTCTGGTTCAGGTTGGTATCCGAACAATCCAACTCCTTGTGGAATTGTGTACTTCTTTTGTGCTATAACTTTGTCTGGAACAACTTTTGGTCTTGCTAACAGTGAAAAGTTTGTTTCGTCTTTTGGTACAAAAGTTTCTGTCAGCTTGTCATCTGGAATTGGTTCCAACAAACCTTTCTCGAAAAGAATGTTTACAGCTCTGACAATGTTGCACTTGCCTTTTCCGAACAATGGGTTTGTAAGACTTTCGTTCAACATGAAGTGGTTGTGGACAATTACAATCTTCAACCATGGTAAGTCTTTGTCAACAACATAGTCGTCATGTGAAGAACCTTTCTCAGTCGGAATGTTGACTCGGATATTCACATTTGCCAACGGTGCAATTTTTGACAATTGACCTCTGAGCATGTACCTTGTTTTCACACATGACTCAAGATACTTCATCTTCTCATCTGTAACAAGACCAGAGTTCCTGAGACATGTAAGAATACAAGGTTCATTGACAATTGTTTCGATTGAATTGTAAATTCCATACCTTGTCAAGTCAATGTCAGACTTATTTATGAACGGGAAGTATCCAGCATGTTGTCTGACTGCTTGAGGGTTAGGTTGGTACCATTCGAACTTGACACTTGCAATTCCTTCAATTGCATTCAAAATGTCTGAGTCGGAGTCAACCATTTGTTCTCTCTTTGTAGTCTTGAAAGCGTCAAGAAGCATTGCAGCTGTTGTGACATTGCCATGTGCATAGTAAATATGACCATCTAAATCTGTTACGGTTAGTCTGAGATTGTATCCTTTCTTATTTCCGTCTTGAATTGCAGCAAGTACACCCATGAAGCCTTCTTTGTTCTTTCCTTCGTCAAAGTTTACTGTAAAGGTTCGACCAGATGTAATTTGACTTCTAACTTCACGATACTTCTCATATGCATATCTTGTTCTTTCCATGGGAGCATGTTTGTCTTCACCCTTCCCTTTTTTCCTTCTCAAAGGATGCAATTGTTCGTCATGTTTCCAGTAGAATCTGGCAAAGCCGTCGTGTCCCTCAACTTGAGGCTCAGAAACATCGAAAGGCATGTCCATAAGACGTTCTTCTTCTAACCTCTCGAGTCTGTTTGGATAATTGGCGCGCGCGGTTTCTAAGTCCATCTCGTAGCGAAGACCAGACAGTTTGTCATAGACTTTTATTGGCTTTCCCTTCCTATATTTAAACTTCTTCGAAACTTTCCAACCATATCTTTCTAACTCTGCTTTTATTCTAGCAGACCTTCTGTCCATTCTATATGGGGGCATTTTTATAAAAATAAAAAAATATTTTTTTTCTTTACTTTACATAACCACCTGCTGCCATAAGTCTTTGACGCCAACCCATACCAGCTAATGAAGGTTGACTTGGTTTAGTATTGAAACTAAACTTTGGTTTTGGTTTATCTTCCGTTTTTGGTTTCTCTTCTTCTATCGGTTTTTCGTCACTTTTCGGTTCCTCTGACTTTACCTCACCTGCAGGAACAGTTGTGTCGTCAACATCTTCATAAATATCATATGCCATTTGTTTTTGTTTTCCTTTCAACTTTTTGTGTTTGTTGTAAAGTTTAGAATATTTCGACTCTAAGTCAATGAGATGTTCTATAATGAACTGTTGGTCGGTAAAATATACTTTCCCATCTGTTGTCTCGAAAATTCCTTCAGACTTCAATATTTTATTTGTGAGAGTCTGTTTCTTTTTTGAGATACTAGCCGTTCCATTTCTATGAAAAGTGACTTTGTAGTTAGGGTTTGCATTTCCAGACCTGGCACTTTCTATTATTGAATTTTTCTCTTCATCTGTAAGTTCTTTGACAGGTTTTGACAATGGTTCTGAACTTTTTGTTTGTGGTGTCAAATCTACCGTTTCAACTTCTTCGGTCATTTCATCTCAGTAAAAAATTTTAGTTTGGTTTGTTTTCAACTGGTTGTTTAGGTTTTTTAAGTCGGTCTAAAACTTCTTGAGGTATAGGAAGAACTTGACAAACACGTGGTTGTGTAACTACTGGAAGTCGACAAATCCATCTTGAACCCATTTGTCTCAATGCTGTATTGTTCATTTCATCTCAGTAAAAAACTTTACATTCCCCAAGTTTGAGGTGGTTGCGGTTGGTTATTGTTTACCCACTGTTGTGCATGGTTATATCCTCTGTTAAAGAATCTTTCACCTTGGTCCATATAGTGTCCTGCTTGGTTATAGTAGTCATTTGCTTTGTTATAATAGTTTCCTGCTTGTCTTCCTACATTGTCCATCCATCCTTGAACTTTTCCTCTTGTTTCAGGATTTGGAATAAGATTTGCTGCATCTCGTGCTACATCCCAACCTTTCTGTACAGTTTGTATAATAGGCTGTGCTTTCTCTTTCAGTATACCTAATGTACTCAAAATCTTCCTTCCAATTCCAAATGCACCTCTGGCTAGTGTTCCCACTGCGGGCAAAAATCTGGATGCAACTCCTGCTAATGCGCCAAATAAACCCATTTCTTATGGGTTAAAAAATGACGAATCCAAACAAGGACCCCTATGTTTCTAAGGCAACAAAGAAAGCACTCATGATAAAAATCTTTAGTTCAACACCAAATGCTTGGTTTATGGATATCTTGGAAAACATTCCGAGGTATAGAGAAGATGGACCACCATACTGGCTAATATTTGTTGGTCAAAACACAAGATACTGTGAAGCCATACCATTACAGTCCAAAAATATTTTAGATGTGAAAACTGCTTTGACAATATTCGTTGACAAATACCATCCAACTAAACTGACATCTGACTGTGAAAGTTCTTTCAAATCAGATGATATTAAAAACTATCTGCGTTCAAAAAATGTAAACCAATATTTCATTGTCGACCAAAACCATTCTGCTCTTGGTGTCATTGACAGTTGTATAAAATCTTAAGAGACTTAAACCAACCACAAGGTGGTGAAGCAAATGAAATGTCATATGATGACAAATATAGACACTTCTCCCAGGCAAAGATGAGACAAGTTTTAAATATTTACAATAGCCGTAAACAAAAAGGTTTGGGAAACCACTCCCCTGAAGAAATGAAAAACAACCCCGACTTAGAGAAAGACTATATATTTAATAGTTTAGTCAAAAGAGACAAACAAGAAAGAATGCCAGGCTTCAAACTTAAGAAAGGTGACAAAGTAAAAATAGAAATACCTAAACGCGACCCATATGAAAATACTATTGACTATGACAACAATGGGAACTCGACAGGTACTCACCTTCGTGTTCGTAAAAATAGAAGAAAGTATACAAGAGAATATTATGAAGTTTTAGGCAAACATGGCAAAATGTACAGACTGCAAGCAGAAGATAAAACTACTATTGTCAGACCTCGTTTCAAACTTGTCAAAGTTCAAGGTGGTATACTTTCAAAGACAGTTCCTAACAAATATAAGACAACTCCTGACGAATATGCTAAAGAAGTTGAAAATGACGACTAAGCAATTCTATACCATGCGTAAACTGTCATGTAAGGTGGCATGTAGTCTTTACTTTGTCCCGTTGTTTGTGTATACCCTGAAACGCGATGTGTATGGTTTCCTCCTCCCTCAGTGTTACTCCAGTAACAATCTATAGCAAACTTAACGTTGTCTTTAACATCATATCCTTTACCTTTTGTCATTCCTGACCAATCCCAATATCTATGCTTATGCCAACCTGCTTGAGATGTACTTAAATCTATGTAGTGACTGTGCGCAGGTAAATTTTCACCTGAAATCGTTTTACTTCCTCCTGTTTCCTTTGAAGAGTTTGCACAATACAAAAACCTGTCGACTATTTGAGTCCAAGTTCCAAAACCAAGTACTACTTCTGGTCTGGTAGAGTTCATTGACGTATAAATAGAACCTATAGGATATACTGTTTGAAGTATTTCTGTCTTTAATGTTTGAAGCTCTGTTTTGTCTGCTTTTTTATATAACTTTTCTTCAAGTTCATTTACGTCAGAGATGCTATGTCTATGATATTTTTGTGGGTATGTTCCTTCTGTCCATGCTAAAATACGTTCTTTTGTTGCATCTACATATCCAGCTATCCATGTCGAGTCTGCTTTTGTATTCCTTAACTCTGTAACACCTTTCTCAAGCTCTTTCAACTGTTGTCCATCTTCCATTAAACCTCTGGTATGACTTGAAACCGTTTGTGTCAACATATCTACAGTTTCTTTGTCGGCTTTAAGGTCTAAACATCCTGAAACCCATCCTGTATCAGCTTTAGTTTTTAAAATCTTCGATGTCCGTTCATTGTACCATTCAACCCTTTCTTTAATTTCATTGTCTTTTTCATCCACATATTCCTTATCTGCCTTCTTCACTAACCCACTAGCCAGATATGCTAACTCATCGTCAACATACTCTTTGTCAGCTTTTTTCAACATCCTCTTTTGTTGCATATGTTGCATCTGCTCTGTCATGTTCTTCTTGAACTTTTTCAATGACATACTCTTTGTCAGCTTTGTTGTCAACATCTGCTTTCAAAAGAAGTTCATCTATAGGTTTCTCGTTTAAAGTTCCTTTTGTTGGATTTACACAGACAGTATGGTTCTTACTGTCTTGAAACAGAAACTCGTCTGTCATTGGGTTTATCGTCAGTTTTAAGTTTCCTTCTTTCAATGACTCAGATATCTTAGAATAGTTTGAAAAGTTTGTTGTGTTCTTATTTAGAGCTTGCAAAATGAGTTGTCGGTTGTGTTGTATTTCTCTCATAGACGCTGTTTCTTTCGACATTTTATTCTAGATAAAATATGCTTTCAATAGAAAAAGAAAATTCAAGAGTTGCTACAACTAAACCATTAGATGAACTTTTTACTAACGTAGGTCAAAAGTTTGAGACAGAGACCGTAAAGCATGAAGGCTATCGTTTTGACTACCCACTAAGATGGTTAAGAGACCCATCCGTCACAAAAGCTATTGGCTTTCGTAGAATGAAATTCATTTCAGAAGCCATACATGGTTTCCCATTTACGGTCGCTTTTGAAATTCGATACTATAACAAAGAAAAACGTACGTATGAGAAATTTGAACAGGGAAAACTTTTACAAGTGAATTTGCTTGTAAACTTAGAAACAACTCTTCAAGCTTTTCAAGAAAAAATAAACGATATCTATCTCGAATATGCAAAACAGTACAACATTGACGAAGGAGAGTACCATCTCGATATTATATATGACAGGAAAAATGCAACTGTTAAAATCAATAGAATAGAAGACCTTGGAGAAGACGTTTATATTTCTACAAAATATAACAACTTGGCATGGTATAGATTTTTGAGGATGTTAAATCAGCCTGCAGCATATCCAGTACACCCGAACTTTTATGAAGTCGAAAACCCTAATGGAACATATGAAAATGTTTTCGACTCAGATGCTATTATCGTTCATGCTTCATTTTCTGGCGCACAAAACTCTTTTTTATGCTTGGCAAATGACTTTTACGAAAAACCTACAAAGTTATATGAACCACCAAGTGGAAGTATTTCAGACTTTCAAGTATGGTTTACTACAGATGGAAGAAAAAGAATAATTCCATTATACCATGCGTTTTACTTAGAACTTAGTTTCATATACAACTACTATCGAACGGTAAAAATATAATTTTTTAATACGGTTGAGGTGTTGGATTTGGTTGCCAACTAGACTGTGGTGCAGGTTCAGGCTGTTGTATAACAGGAGCTTGTTCTTCTGGTTCAGGGTCTTTAGGTATAATACCAACAAACTGACCTACTCTTTTACCAATATTTTTGACTCCGTTCCAAATTCCTTTTCCGACAGATTTTATTCCATTCCATATACCTCTTCCAACATTTCGAAAGAAGTTTCCTATCTTACTGAAGAAACCCATTTTACTATATGTAAAAATCTAATGTCCGCCTAGTCTCTTACGTTTCCTGTTGAGTTCCATAGCATTCTTTAACTGGAGCTCATACATTCTGTTTCTCCTCTGGTAGAAAACATATTCTGGGTCAACTCCTGTGTTCGCGTCATCTGCATAAAGTTGTTTATATCCCACTTCAGGGTTTGTATAAAACTCTTTCCATCTCATATTTGCATACCATGGTGGCAAACCTAACGCAGCGTCATTTGACATGGCAGTTTGCATTTGTACATCTGTTGGCACTTGACCATAGTTTGCCATTGCAGTTTGTATTCTAACTTCATTTGGAATATTCTCTGGGTTTGGTTGTCCAGGTTGCTGTGCATTCGCTAAGTTCTGTGCGTCCATTTAATATTAGATAAAAATATCTCTTACGAGTACATATACTGAACATTTGCAGGCATTGGTTCATCTTCATATTCTCTATATCTTTCTGCCACGTCAAATAAGTAAATGACACAATGGAAAAAACCTAAAACAAGTAGTCCTATTTCAAACCACATTTACTTACTAGTAAAATTTCTTTGTTATGACACTTTCTCCAGTTTATAGGACCTCTCTCATATTCTATCTTGTCATATATAAACTCATAGTCATGTATGTCCTCTAACCATCTCATGACACTTTCCAAACCACTTTTATCGGATGTAAAGTAAAAGCATGGATGGTTATGTAAAACGTCTAAAGTTTCTAAAGAGTCTCTCAAAGTCCAGTCTACTTGGTATTGAAAATCCCATGTGTTATAGAACGGCGGGTCCACTATAAAGAAAACATTTTCCTTGTCTTTATATTTTTCATACAACTCTGTCCAATGACATCTCACAAACTCTATACCCTCAATATATTTTTCTATGTCCTCTTTGAAAACATTTGTATAGTTAAGATATAAAACTTTTGACATAAGTGTTTCAATGTCATGAACTCTTATAGCACCACTATATAATAGTCTAGCAGATATACTATCCCAGTCTATATATTCTGCTTTTTTCAAAACCTCTCTCACAATATTTTTCTTATCTAATGGTATACGTTCCATCTTACCTATAGGTATCTTTTCTTTTAACTCTTTCAATATATTGTTTGTGTCTGGTATATGTTTGAGACGGTCCATATAGTTGTCGAAGTCATTGCATATAATCTTTGAGTCTGGGAATATTGTATGGCACAAATGGGATATATAGAAACTTCCACCGAACAAGTCTACAAATGTTAGACCATTCGGTAGTTTCTTAAGTTCTCTCAATAGAATATCTTTACATTTACTCTTATTTCCAAAGAACGGTAACGGTGGTTTTGTAAAATTCATTTATATATAATAATAAAAATGTTTTTCCCTGAAAAGTGACAAAATTTCTTAGGGGCTAGAGGGCACGAAGTGCCTGGAAGCCCCACTGCCTTTTTTTTTTTTTTTTTTTTTTTTTTTCATAATTATATTAAATTTAAATACATTTTTACAATTGAAGATAATTTTTTTTTAATTTTCAAATAGAAAATCCTTTAATGAAAATTGTATTTTTATCATTATCAGCTATTAGTTAATCTTTATCAATTGAAAAGATATCTAAAAAAACGATTCGAACATTTCAAATATTATTAGTTATGATGCTAAACTATCAATAGTGCTATATTTAAAATTATTTTAATTTTTATATCTTTAAATTTGACAAGCAGTCCAGCTTTTCGATGTGATTTATGAGATTATTATATATATATTGCTAATAAGGAATAAAGTTAACTGCTTAAAATCGAATTTTGAGCATGATTTATTTTTGAAATTATTTTATCATTGAATTTTCGGCGATTTAAATGGATCAATCCGCAATATAATATAACTCAAATTGATAAATGCTATTAGTTTAAAAACGATTAAAAATTGCAACCGAAAATGGTCAAAAGTAAGTCACGAAAATATGAAATTTAGATAGCTAATTTGATTTAATTAAAGACGACGAAAAAAATATTTTTAGTCTTATATATATAGCGTATCTATCGGCGCGCGGCTTCGCCGCGCGCCAATATAAGCTGACAACCCATTCATCACAATTTTTGAATAGAATTACCAAACCTTCACAAAATTTTTCAATAAGATTTATGAAAAATCTATTGTCACTTAAAATACTTTAATATAACTTATTATTAAAATACTTTTTTTTGTTGGACTACCTTTCAAATATCTACGATATAAAAAATTTACGCTACAAATTTTTTTCATAAAAAAAATCATTTTTGTTGATGGAATCAAAGATTATTGTCATCACAGGTGCTTCCGATGGTATTGGAAAGTACACAGCAACACAGCTTGCAAAGCAGGGACATACAATCATCATTCATGGAAGGAACCCAGAGAAGACTAAAGCAGCAGCAGAAGAGATCATCAACGAGACAGGAAACAAGAACGTGAAATACTATCTTGCTGACTTCCTTGACTTCACATCCATCAAAGAGTTTGCCGAAAAAGTCAAACACGACTACGATCATATTGATGTTCTAATCAACAATGCAGGTGCACAGTTTGGTAGTGCTCGCGAAACTACCCGTGATGGGCATGAGAAGACTATGATGGTTAATGTCTTTGCACCTTTCATATTAACGCATCTCCTCTTGCCTTCCCTCAGTAAATCACAAGCAGCAAGAGTTGTTACAGTTTCTTCTGCTTCGCACAACATGGGAGGACAACCTGCTCTTGACGACATTGAACTTGAGAAATCATACACTATGCCAAGAGCCTATGGATTTTCAAAGCTTTACGTCATATGGGTAATGAGACACTTCATTAAGTTCGCAAATGAGAAGGGAATTAAAAATATAACATTTAACTGTGTCCACCCAGGATCCACAAATTCTAATCTCGGCCGTGAGTCAACAAAGAACTGGCTCTGGTGGTTCATTTATTTGCTTTGGAAACCAATGATGAATTCAATGGAAGATGCTGCACGTCCAAGCATCACTTGCGCAACATCGAAAGACCTCGAAGGTGTCACTGGAAAATATTATGGTCCAAAAGGTGAAGAAGCTGTTTATGATAAGTTCTACACAGTTGAAAATGAGCAGAAAGTTTGGGATTACTGCATGGATATCACAAAACAATATTTGTAAAAACATTCATTTTTATTGAAACTAAACAATTAATTTGAATTTAATTTTTTTTTCGTAAGGTAATAAACATATGATTCATGATCTTTCTCATTTCTTTCCAAACTATAGTACCATACGAAATTTACTTATCAGCCTATAATACAATCATATTTTCTGAATAAATGATAATAAGAAAAACGTAAAGGTGGCAAAATAAAATTATGTTTATTCTTATTTTTATTTAGTTAAAATAACTGTGCATACAAACTCACCAGTCTTAGGGCAATTTGGATGATTTTCTAACTTGATCATTTCCGTTTTATATCCTTCTGATTCATACTATTCTGCAATAGTTCCAAGAACAATTCCGATATCAAACCATCCATTATTTGGAAATAGTGCAACACCGTTTCCGTTGATGAAAACATGAATATTTGGTTCTTGGAATAAAATTCTGAAGTTATGAGGTTTCATAACACATGGTATCTTATGAAGCCCGAGACAGATGTCAGTTCGCTCTCCAACGTTATCGATCTTCATTGGAAACTCGTATCTGTCAAAGAATTCTTCCTCGTACACACTCTCGCCTCTGAATGATCCAAACCATTTAACAACGGATTCGACCCAACGATCCTCGCCTTCAACGCCAAATGCAAAACCGATGACAACATCATACTTGTTCTCAAAGTACTCGATGGCTTTTGATCTGTTGAAGCCTCCGAACCAGTATGTTGCTATGTCCATGCGAGTCAGTTCAAGAATGCATCGTTCGAACATGTATCCAATCTCTTTATACTGCTCACGTGTCTGGTTTACATCGAGATTTCCCTTCTCGGTGCGCGCAAGAACCCATCCTGCTTCGTTGACAAGCATATTCATTCTTCCGAATCCTGGTGGTGTAACAACAAGTTCAATCTTGTATCCAAGGTTTTTACCTACTGAATTAATCCTTTCAACTGTACTTTCAACAAAATGCTTCTTGCTGTCTTCAAATTCAGCTTTAGTGAATGCACGTGTGCTGTGCCTCCTCTTGAATGCTTCTGGCATTGTCCTAATGTATTCGACACTCATATGTGAGCTTCTTTAATAAAAATGAACTAAAATTTATTTCAATAAAATTTTATTCAAAAAAATTTTTACCCATTCTGTTCAATTTTTCTGAGGTCTATCGAGATATCAATTGAGAAACATAACTTTGCCCAAGCATAATCCCTGATATGTGTATTAAAATAAATAAAATACACAATTTCTATTCAAAGAATCGAATTTTTGTAATTTTTGCTGATCAATAATATTTTAAATCATTTATTATTATTTATTTTAGAAAATGGATGTTTTATGATAATTTATGCAAAGTATATTATATGTATTCGACATGTATATTATATCTGAGTAGATATTTTTTATGATTTGCAATTAATTTAGCTGAAATTGAAAATTATCATAAATCTTATAAGCTTATTAAATTTTAATAATATTTATCAATACAATTTAATGATTAATGTACTATATAATTTATTTTTATTATGAAATTAATCTAATTTATTGGAGTTCAAGTAAATTACTTCTAATTTAATTCATATTTTTATAATTTATATCTATTTTCATGATGTTTCGAGTTAAAATGCAATCATATTTTTTCAAAAAAATTATTTTCATTCAAAATGTTTTACTATCACATCATATGCAATTATTTCCTATGAAAAGCAAAATATTTTCATAAAATAATATTATATTTTTAACATTTTCAATTTGATTTTTGTTACACAATAATATCACAATTTTTCAATATAAAACTAGTGATTTAAAAGTAATGATCTCTATCAAAATAATGTTATTGGCTGATTGATTCAATACAGATTTAGTACATATATTTTTCACATAAATTTGAATTATCGCAATTCAAATATTTGAGAGGGTAAACAAAAATTTTAATAAGTTGACTGAGATTATGTCAACAAAGTTATTTTTATCAATTTTGTAATTCGTTGACTCTCAAATAATATCATTGATAATATGAACAATATAAATTTTATGACAATCATTTTGAAATGATCGTTACCAAATAAAATAAACGATTCTAACAATCCGAATATTATTATTTATAATGCTATTAAGTTAATAGTATTGTTTATGTAATTATTTTTGTTTTTATATCTATAAATTTGATTACCCATCAATCACAATTTTTGAATAAAAATACCCAAACTACACAATTTTTTCAATGAGTTATTCAAAATTAAGAGAAATAGGTAGATTGTGATAAAAAAGATTTTAACGCAAAACCATAATATATTAATTATATGTTAATTATTTGGATAATTTTCAATAAAAACCTCTATTATATCAAAAATTTTTTTCAAAGAAAAATCATTTTTGTTGATGGAATCAAAGATTATTGTCATCACAGGTGCTTCCGATGGTATTGGAAAGTACACAGCAACACAGCTTGCAAAGCAGGGACATACAATCATCATTCATGGAAGGAACCCAGAGAAGACTAAAGCAGCAGCAGAAGAGATCATCAACGAGACAGGAAACAAGAACGTGAAATACTATCTTGCTGACTTCCTTGACTTCACATCCATCAAAGAGTTTGCCGAAAAAGTCAAACACGACTACGATCATATTGATGTTCTAATCAACAATGCAGGTGCACAGTTTGGTAAAGATCGTCAAGAAACAGCTGCGGGTCATGAGAAAACGATGATGGTCAATGTTTATGCGCCATTCCTTTTGACACATTTGTTTTTACCACTACTCCAAAAGTCTCATTCAGCAAGAGTTGTTACAGTTTCTTCTGATTCTTATAAGCTTAGCGGAAAGCCTCTTTATGATGATTTTGAACTTAAAAAGAATTATTCTCTGACAAAATCATATGGATTATCCAAGTTGTACGTAATTTGGATAATGAGACGAGAAAAAAACATAGCACACATTTGCACACATTTTGACACTTTTTCTGACAAGCATCATTCAAATTTGAAGAAAAACCTCTAAATTTCATTCAAATTTCTGTCAAAATGTGTGCAAAATTGAAATAGGCACACATTTTGACATACGATTATTTATATACGTTATTTTAATGGTTTCAGAGAAATCTTCGTTACACATTATTGAAGATTACTCAATATTTAAGTGAATGACTCACTACCACCTGTTTAGAAAAATGGTAGCATAAAATCCAAATGTCACATATATTATTTCTTATTTCATACAAATAAACTTACAATTATAACCTCAACTTGTTTGCAAAGCAGAAACTCAATATAAGCAATCGATCAGTAGTGTATTTAAAAGTCGAATTTAAATTTAAAAATTTATAATCTTATTTCGGAACCAAATAGTATAAATTTAGGACAAAAAGCTACGTGGTGTTGATAACAACTATTAAAATTCAAATATTACTACCATGAACAATACAATGGCTCATATTGATAATTGATAAACGTGCATATAAATTGCATATATCATCAATGTCATTAAGTAAAATACATGTATATAAATAGATTAGAAATATTTTTCGGTTAGAATTAAAATCTATGTAATAAAAAATAAGTTATAAAAATAAATACCGAATTTTTATTTGTAATATAAACTGCTACAATATGCTAGTGTATACAAATGTATTTGTCGTATTGATTTGAAAGATCTTCAACATGGTTCAGATCTAAATTTGAAACTCGTAAAATAAAGCGAATCTTTATTTATAATATAAACTGCTACAATATGCTAGTGTGTACAAATGTATTTGTCGTATTGATTTGAAAGATCTTCAACATGGTTCAGATCTAAATTTGAAACTCGTAAAATAAAGCGAATCTTTATTTATAATATAAACTGCTACAATATGCTAGTGTGTACAAATGTGTTTGTACAAATGTATAACTCTTTGTCAATTGTTATGGCACCTTATAACTTAAAAATCATTTTCATTAACAAATATAAAAAGTGACAATTAATATTTTCATTAAATGCATATTTAATTATCAAAACAATGTCGATTTAGCTTGAATGTTCATTATAAATGTGTAAGTTTAGGAAAACAAAAAATAATTAATTCTCGCAAAGAAACTTATTTTAAAAGAACCTAAACAAAAGTTCATATAATAATAAATCTAAAAATAGATATTAATTTAAACGAAGATAATGAGAGAATGGGGATGTTGTAAAACAATGAGACTTAATGATCAAATAATTAAAATAATAAAATTAATTAAAGGAAAGCTAAAATAGTTTAATGAATTTTTATAGATTGATTACACAATCAATGTTTCTGTGTCAATGTACATCAATCAACATTGTTTCATTGAATTTTGTCTTTCACCAAGAAGATTCAAGAACAAAGTTTTGTAGTTTCAATAGATTGATTACACAATCAATGTTTCTGTGTCAATGTACATCAATCAACATTGTTTCATTGAATTTTGTCTTTCACCAAGAAGATTCAAGAACAAAGTTTTGTAGTTTCAATAGATTGATTACACAATCAATGTTTCTGTGTCAATGTACATCAATCAACATTGTTTCATTGAATTTTGTCTTTCACCAAGAAGATTCAAGAACAAAGTTTTGTAGTTTCAATAGATTGATTACACAATCAATGTTTCTGTGTCAATGTACATCAATCAACATTGTTTCATTGAATTTTGTCTTTCACCAAGAAGATTCAAGAACAAAGTTTTGTAGTTTCAATAGATTGATTACACAATCAATGTTTCTGTGTCAATGTACATCAATCAACATTGTTTCATTGAATTTTGTCTTTCACCAAGAAGATTCAAGAACAAGTTTTCCTCTTTTTCTTTTTTAAATGATTAAAATATTACCTTGCTTCAACTTTACACGTTTTCGTTTACTAAAATTATCTTTTACCTTCACTTATCTTATCATACCCAATTATTCATTTAATTCTATATTTTTCTGACCAAAAATCCTCTCAAATCTCCCTTCTTCTTTCAAAAATTCTATGAGTTTATTCAAATTTCCTTTAAATCTTTGCTAGTCCTTCTATGAGATTCATTCTAAAATTTTTGAAAAAAATTTAAAATTTGCTAAATATATTCTTTATTACTTTGCACTATTTTCCAATTGAAAAATCGTCGATTTTAATCAAATGTAAGATCATAATAATAAAAATTATGAAACTTACCGTGTTTATTAGTAAATTTCAATATGAAGTTGTTATACAAACAGCTGGGACTTTAAATTGAGAAATTGCATAATTCCATCTACAAATTTTGGTCTAGACAATAATCATTGATAAATTATAATATATGTATTATGTGTATTTACATTGCATATATAACAATTTCAATTTCTATATTAAATTGTTATTTGATATCAGCTATATTTGTTCAGGTAAAATGAAGTGTAAAAATATAACTCATGAATTACATATATATATATTATTTTTATTATTAAAATCAAATTCAGATTTATAAATTAAGGTTATTCATTTTTGATATGGTTATCACGCTCAAATATGGAAATAAAATTAAAAAAAGTCAATACTCCTCAAAAAATACATTGTCTATCATTATATCTATATGCTTCCAAAGTATTTCATCTTAAACTAAAGACTTTTATATTACAAAAAGATTCAAAGAAGATACAATTGTTTAATTATGTTAAACATTATTCAGATATGACAATTGAAATAAAAGAGTCAAAAAAGCCTCTAAACTATTTGACAATCCAATAATTTCTTCAACTAAACTATCAAATTTGGAGGATTTAATAAAATGTGGATATGATATGGATATTTCACAAATTGCATTGTTTTCAGCCAGAAATGACATTGATACTGCTATGAAAATACTGAACATGGATTCAATCGAAGAATATGGATATGAACTTAATTGCTTATTAAAACAAGTAAGAGAATTTAGAAGAAGTGATATAAAAGGTCAAATGATTGCAATAAGGACAGATAGCAATGGTAAAAAATACACAGAAGTATTAGCAGAAGGGATTTTTAAAGCAGATAGCGATGTTGATTGATGTACATTGACACAGAAACATTGATTGTGTAATCAATCTATTGAAACTACAAAACTTTGTTCTTGAATCTTCTTGGTGAAAGACAAAATTCAATGAAACAATGTTAATTGATGTACATTGACACAGAAACATTGATTGTGTAATCAATCTATTGAAACTACAAAACTTTGTTCTTGAATCTTCTTGGTGAAAGACAAAATTCAATGAAACAATGTTGATTGATGTACATTGACACAGAAACATTGATTGTGTAATCAATCTATTGAAACTACAAAACTTTGTTCTTGAATCTTCTTGGTGAAAGACAAAATTCAATGAAACAATGTTGATTGATGTACATTGACACAGAAACATTGATTGTGTAATCAATCTATTGAAACTACAAAACTTTGTTCTTGAATCTTCTTGGTGAAAGACAAAATTCAATGAAACAATGTTGATTGATGTACATTGACACAGAAACATTGATTGTGTAATCAATCTATTGAAACTACAAAACTTTGTTCTTGAATCTTCTTGGTGAAAGACAAAATTCAATGAAACAATGTTAATTGATGTACATTGACACAGAAACATTGATTGTGTAATCAATCTATTGAAACTACAAAACTTTGTTCTTGAATCTTCTTGGTGAAAGACAAAATTCAATGAAACAATGTTGATTGATGTACATTGACACAGAAACATTGATTGTGTAATCAATCTATAAAAATTCATTAAACTATTTTAGCTTTCCTTTAATTAATTTTATTATTTTAATTATTTGATCATTAAGTCTCATTGTTTTACAACATCCCCATTCTCTCATTATCTTCGTTTAAATTAATATCTATTTTTAGATTTATTATTATATGAACTTTTGTTTAGGTTCTTTTAAAATAAGTTTCTTTGCGAGAATTAATTATTTTTTGTTTTCCTAAACTTACACATTTATAATGAACATTCAAGCTAAATCGACATTGTTTTGATAATTAAATATGCATTTAATGAAAATATTAATTGTCACTTTTTATATTTGTTAATGAAAATGATTTTTAAGTTATAAGGTGCCATAACAATTGACAAAGAGTTATACATTTGTACAAACACATTTGTACACACTAGCATATTGTAGCAGTTTATATTATAAATAAAGATTCGCTTTATTTTACGAGTTTCAAATTTAGATCTGAACCATGTTGAAGATCTTTCAAATCAATACGACAAATACATTTGTACACACTAGCATATTGTAGCAGTTTATATTATAAATAAAGATTCGCTTTATTTTACGAGTTTCAAATTTAGATCTGAACCATGTTGAAGATCTTTCAAATCAATACGACAAATACATTTGTACACACTAGCATATTGTAGCAGTTTATATTATAAATAAAGATTCGCTTTATTTTACGAGTTTCAAATTTAGATCTGAACCATGTTGAAGATCTTTCAAATCAATACGACAAATACATTTGTATACACTAGCATATTGTAGCAGTTTATATTACAAATAAAAATTCGGTATTTATTTTTATAACTTATTTTTTATTACATAGATTTTAATTCTAACCGAAAAATATTTCTAATCTATTTATATACATGTATTTTACTTAATGACATTGATGATATATGCAATTTATATGCACGTTTATCAATTATCAATATGAGCCATTGTATTGTTCATGGTAGTAATATTTGAATTTTAATAGTTGTTATCAACACCACGTAGCTTTTTGTCCTAAATTTATACTATTTGGTTCCGAAATAAGATTATAAATTTTTAAATTTAAATTCGACTTTTAAATACACTACTGATCGATTGCTTATATTGAGTTTCTGCTTTGCAAACAAGTTGAGGTTATAATTGTAAGTTTATTTGTATGAAATAAGAAATAATATATGTGACATTTGGATTTTATGCTACCATTTTTCTAAACAGGTGGTAGTGAGTCATTCACTTAAATATTGAGTAATCTTCAATAATGTGTAACGAAGATTTCTCTGAAACCATTAAAATAACGTATATAAATAATCGTATGTCAAAATGTGTGCCTATTTCAATTTTGCACACATTTTGACAGAAATTTGAATGAAATTTAGAGGTTTTTCTTCAAATTTGAATGATGCTTGTCAGAAAAAGTGTCAAAATGTGTGCAAATGTGTGCATTTTATCCATCTCTAATGAGACACTTTATCAAATTTACTGCAGCTAAAGGTATCAACAGTATCACATTTAACTGTGTCCATCCAGGTTCAACACCATCAAATCTCGGAAGAGAATCAACCAAATTCTGGTTATTTAGTCTTATCAACTTCCTCTGGACTCCAATGATGAATTCAATGGAAGATGCTGCACGTCCAAGCATCACATGTGAGTTAGTATACATATCTTGTGTACTGAGGCACTGCGCGCCTCCGTACACCACTTAACCTTAAATATTTACAAAACCATTAACATATATTTTTACAACACAAACGACAACACTAACTTAACATTAAATATTTACAAAGCCGCCAACCACTTCACTTCACTAACGTTTTCACAAACGACTTCATTAATGTAAAAAATAAGCGTTCTCACTTACAAAAGTATTGCAACTCCTCCCATTGCTGTGCTTCACATAACAGCTCATAATCTTCTGACTCACTTTCTTCTTCATATAGGTCAAAATCACTGTCAAAATGAATGTTAGTAAGTTTTGACAAAGCTAATGAAACACGTTTACCGTTTGTATCGTATGCTTGTATAAACTTTCCATTCTTCATTCCTTCATAAACGCTCAAACTAACTTTACCCTTTCTCCCTCGTATCTGATAGAATGTATTTTCACGAGGAACGAAGAACAAATTCTTGAACTCATGACCGTTGTAGTTTGTTATCTCAATAGTTTTCGTCATTTACATCCAAATAAAATAAAAAATAAACTTAAAAAATAATGATATCACCACCCTCACACGTATGAAAACATAGCACAAAAATAAATTTAGGTGAAGTGGTGAGATCTCACCTGTTTTCTCACCTGTTTTTTCACCCTGTTGAATTCATTGCTTTATTCCTCACTGTCGTCTGCTTTCTCCAACTCTTCTAACTTCTTCCTAAGTTCAGCAATGTTGTCCTCATGAAGTTTAATCTTCCTTAATATACCTTCTCTATCTAATGGTTGCTTTATCTTTCTAAACTGAACTCTACCATCCTTCATAGTATAAATGTAAAAACCTTCTGGAATAATTCCTGATTTAATGTATTCTACCAAGAACTTTTGTTTCATTGCTTCAGTGACTTTATTTGTCATTTCAATCAAATAAAAATTTTAATATTAAATAAAAATAACGTTATTTTTTCAGTAAGGAAACGCAGGAGTTTTACGATTTATTTGAGGAGTAGGTTCTGGTTTAAATGTTGGAGTCGGTTTAGGAGTTGACTTTTGAACAGGAGTTTGTACTTCCATAGGTTCAGGAGTCATTGAAGGTTTTGCTTGTGAAGGTGTCGGAGTTTGTTTAACTTCAGCTACTTCAGTATTATTTACAACATTTGCTTTATTTCTTTTCAACATCATTACTGCTACTGCTGTAGCTAGCAAACCTAGTGGGAGACCATATCTTATATAAGGACTTGACCAAATGCTATTTTTGACAGGAGCTGGTGGAACACCTAACCTTGGTGAGACTGCTCTTTGCCATTGTGCAGCTCGTAAGAAATATTCAATAGGTGCTCCATAATCGTTTGGTAAAGTTTGTTTCATAAATGGTGAAGGTTCACGAGAGCTTGATGAAGAACTCATTTATAAGCTTTAAAAATAAACGTTCATCCTTTATTCCTCACTGTCGTCCGTGGCTAAGTTATAGTCATCTAATCTTATTATTGGGATTCCATTAGCACGCACCTGAATGGCAAAGCAACAATCCCTCATAAATCCAATAAGTGGCTTTGGTACGTTTTCAGTTGCTAGTTCAATAGGTCCTTTAACAGACAATTTGTATGTTATTGGAGCAGTAGATGTTTGACCTTGCTGGAAGCAAAAGTCCACTTCTGTTGGAAAACCACATAAGAAATGTGTGTTGTCATAGCTATCCCATTTATGTTCCACACTACCATCATCCACCAATGACCTCATAACATCTTCATTAAATCCTATCATATCATTGTTTGTATTGCAGGCGTTCGCAACCATTTCATAAAATACAGGTCCATATGATTTTTCAGGTTCTGCAGGCATATTTCCATAAGCTCCCATGGAAAGCTGAAGATATTTAAACTTAGGGTTCTCAAAATTAACATAATAGTTGTCTTTCTTTCTAAATAGTGCCCAAATACTTTTAACATTAATAGGCGTATAAGCTGCTGTAAATGTTGCACTTGAACTATCTGTATTCTTTGAGAATGAACCATCCATAGGAATCCAATCCATAACTTTAACAGGAAAACATAAAGCCTCGTTTGTATAATGTTCTACAAGTTCTGTATAAATGTTAGGGTCTAAAGAGAATGACTTTTGATGAATGAAACATTCATTAAAATCCATCTTTGTTCGAAATAGTTGCTGGGTTACAGTTGTAATAGTAACTGTTCCACTAGCTTCTACTGCCTTCGTTATCATAGTGAATGGTTCATTCCATGGAACAAATTTATTTGTCGGTGGATTTGAATCTGAAGCAAATGCAACTTTAAGAGTTGGATTGAAAGCAATGATATCATTTACAGATATAGATGTGCATTGTAAGGCGTCGCTACTGAACTTTACTTTAAGCTGAATGTTACCAGCAAATGCAGGAATAAATCTTATAGCTTCTAATGGTAAAAACTTTCTAACAGGAATTCTTAAACGAAGCTTAAAATCAAATGATTTTCCTGCTGTAATTGGACCACTAACAATTTGTCCTGTTCTGCATGTTCCCGAACGACTCCATACATCTTCATGTCGAGTCTTTGAGAAAACATCTACTTTCTTTATTTGTTCGGTAGTTTGTGAGTTTGAAGTTATATATGCTTCTTCTCTTGCGTTGTCTTGAGAATATACGATACGACCATTTGCAAGGATTTGATATCCAGCAACTGCATAGAAAGCGTCATCGAAACCAATCCAAAATCCTGGTGGGTTTGTTTTATTGGAACCTGAACCAATTTCTTTATCTACAATAAATTGACCTTCCATTTTATACGTAATGAATGTATTGTAAAGGTCCAACATATTTTCACCAGGAGGTGAGAGATTGAATGTTACCCATGTGTTATCTTTAGCAGTTCCAGGTTGTGATGGAATCTTTGCGTCAGAATATTTTCTATTAGTGTCACCAATTTGAACTGCATTGTCTATGATATCGAAATATGAGCGAATCTGATGAATATGCTCTGCTGGAGTAAATTCGTTTAGCTGTTCGTTCTGCATGTATTTACTTCAGATAAAAATATCTATTTACTTCATTATTCTCACTCTTCTTCTTGGCATTCGTGGTGGAAGTTGTTTCTTGACATTTTCAATGAACTGTACATTCTCTTTTGTCTCAACTTCTTTCACTGGTGGGTCAGGGTTCTTTGACTCGGTTTGCTTTTCAATGAAATTCACGAACTTTGCAATAAGCTCTTGGTTCGTTATTGAAAGAACATCTGGCTTCTTTTCTTCTTGTTCTATTGACTTTTCAGTTTGAACAGAAGGCTTAACATGGGCTTCGTGGACTTCACCCTTGCCATGCACCTTAATGTTGTCGCTTTCTGCATTCGCTAATGGAACCTTTCTTTTTCTTACATATATTTTACCATCTTTACTCTGACTTACGTAATAGAAAGGATGTTGTATTCCTCTGGCGTCATTTAATATAATAGACTCTCGTTCTGATTTTGACAAGCTCATTTTACATCGGTTAAAGTTTTAATTTTGTTTTTTATCTGCAGTCAAATGACTCAGACAAGCCCTACGGACAAGACCCAAGGGGTCATAGATGTTGAAGCATTGAAGAAAGAAATTCGTGAGCAAATTTTATCCGAACTGAAGGAACAAAAACAAGAACAAAAGCCAGAGAGACCAAAGAGAAAACTTAGTGAAAAACAACTTGCTGCATTAGCTGCTGGAAGACAAAAGAACCCACGTTTGCTGGCGAAGAAAGCTAGAGAAGAAGCTGAAGCAAAAGCTAAAGAAGCTGAAGCAAAGAAAGAGTAAATGGTTTATTTTTATCCGAATTAAATGTATAGACAAATACCTTTAACTGTTGCGTTCAGTAGTGAAAACCCTGACGTCAAAATAAAGGGGAACAGAGTAACGTTTAAGTTTCCAACAGACTGGATTGTGAACATAAATGAAGAGAAGTACATTGGCATAACATCTATGTATATAACACGTGCTTTCAGAAAGGTTGACTTTATACTTCAAGTCGAGATAGAAAATGACGAACAGTCTTTAAGCGCCCAAACATTCACATATACAAATACTTTAAAGACGATACAACATTGTTGCAATGTATGATTTCATTTAATGAGATGTTCGAGAAAAAGTTCAACATTGAAGTACAAACTTTACAGCCTTTACGTGAGTTTCTTGCACAACTGAAAGAAGAAGGTAGTCAGCCACAACTTATAGACTTTCATTATGAATTTAATGAAAATGAAGATGGAACTCATGACTGTCAGTTTGTTATATATTCACCATTCAATGAAGTAGCTAAAAAAAAAGAAAATCCATTACGTATAAGATTTCAAATCTCTGAACCCAATGATGATTTCAAAAATGTTTTCAATTATAATGCAATGCTTCCGAGGAAAAATGAATTTTCAAAGATTGTAACACCTGGCATTTGGATAGAAAGCAAGCTATATTATATTCAAACTTAAGTAAGGGAGTTGAAAATGAGTTCATTGGTCATACAAGAACTTCACCACTTCCTAACCTAAATACTATAAATTAACTGGCTTCAATCGTGAGTTTTGGATAGACATGTTCTCCACTCATGACCATAACTGCCCAGTGTTCTTACCTCCAGACCATAAGGACTGTCTCTACATTGAAGCACAACTCTTAAACTCTACCATCGCAGTATTGTAAATGACCATAACTGCCCAGTGTTCTTACCTCCAGACCATAAGGACTGTCTCTACATTGAAGCACAACTCTTAAACTCTACCATCGCAGTATTGTAAATGACCACATGGGCTTCGCCCTTGCCGCTAGCGGCTTATTTTTATCATGAATGACCTCATTGCTGACAAAAATAAATGACCTCATTCATGACCTCATTGCTGACCTCATTCATGACCTCATTGCTGACAAAAATAAATGACCTCAGAACTTCAACTTACGAATAAAGCTTGTTTTAGTCGTTATTGAGAAGTTAAACTTTTCAGCAAAGCAAGGACTAGAAGACTTACATAAGTCAAATCCAATCTCTTGACCGTCATAAAGTGCTTTATAAAGTTTCATGACACTGAACTCAGAGTCTTTGTCAAATTTTCCTTGCGGAACCATTAAACCTTTATCTTCATTGTAATAGCATTGTATAGCTTCAGGAAACATTTCATTAGCGGTTAAAGCAATAACATCTTGCTTCACGCCTTTCATTCTGCAGTGAAATGCAACTTCATTTAAATCGTTAGTGAGTAAGTCTATGTAAGTCTTCTTTCCACAAAATATTGACTTGTATGCTAAACTTTGTTTCCAGGTGTTATTTCTGCGAAGTCAGAATGGAACTGACCAAGGTTCTTACCAATGAGAACTCTTCCATAACGTTTCTCAAACTCTTCAGCTAAACGAGGGATATCTTCATTGTAGAGATGCATACTGTCGGTGTCGCTATAAAAGATGTCCATTCCTAAGTCCTCAGCAGTACAGAATACTTCACACATTATTCTCTTCGACATAGATAGAATATTAACACCAAGTGGACAGAAGTTAAAGTGTCTGCAAATGCTTTTCGTTAGCTTGAAAATAGTTTTATCTGAACCATCCAAACCTTCGAACTTCACTATATGGTTGTAGTTTCTGATGGCATATCTTATAGCATCTTTGTCATTTACTATGGTTATTTTTGACTCAATAGGAGATAGAATAGTTTTGCCATAAATACTGTTCAGAATGAGCTTTATATTTTCTTGCAAAGGATTTCCTTCTTTCTTATACTTTAACCTTAACTCAAACAACTTCTTTACTTCATCTCTTATTCTCATATCTCTGTTTCCATCGTAATAGTATCCTTGCAACACTTCACATTTGACACCTTGATATTTTATGAGGTCTTGTAATGTTATATGGTCAACATACATGAGACAGCAAGTGTTTGAACTTCTGGGAACGTTAAGTTCTGGATTTAGTTCAGGGTCACAAACTATTAAAGGAAAGTGTCTATGTATTCCAATCTCTGTTATCTTAATGAGAACAAAGAAGCCAGACATAAACTTTTCACCAATGGGTTCCTTTTGGTCGTCATCGAATAAATGCTTTAACAAATATTCAGAACTTAACATCTCATCCTTCAATACTTTTGGAATTCCTTCTAAAGTATACAATCTTGCTATAGCGGATGGATATAATGAAACAGCGTCGAAGTCAGCAATGAGTTTCTTTTTGCTCTTTTGTTTCATGTTATCTGACAGCATACATCTTCCACCTTGAATGCATCTCGAAATAAATTCTCTTGGTTTATTTGAGAGGTCATAAAGATTTCCATTCGGGAAGTACACTCTGTTCTCAAATAATTTGTTAGCAATAGAACAAATACTAACGTAGTCATAAACGTTTAAATCAAACTCTTTCAATATGTCATTGCGGAACTTAACAAAACCTTCTCTTAAAATTCTTACATCTTGTTTGCAATAAAATGTGCTATACTTTTCTAAGTCGAAATGGTTTTCATCTATTCTGCAACCTTTGATGGAATCTATGTTTTTCATGAACGTTTCAATATCTTTTACAAACTTACATGCTTCAGAAATGACACCAGTTCTGTTGTCATTTGCTAACAAAACACTGCTGTAGTAGTTATATGGAAATACTTCTTTCGGTCCTGTTTGTAAGTTAAACATAGCAGGAAATAGTTTAAGCTTCTTATTTATAATACTGTAAGAGTCTTTTATAATAATTGCCCGTCCTTTATATAAACCAGTTATTTGCATTGTTCGTGAACCTTTAATGATGGGAGTTCCTTTCACTTCTGTCATGTGTCTTAAGATGAAGTTTATATCATAGCTGAGGTTATGGAAATATATTAAACTCTTGTCAGGAAGTCGCTCCAAAAATTCTGTTGCACAGTTTTGACCCCATATGCTTTCACTCACTGAACCATCTTCACTGTCATAACAGATGTTAAAAGCTTTATGAAAGCCATCGTACTACACTCAAAGTCAGCAAAGAAAACGTGCTCAGGAATGAACTTGCACTTATTTTTATTTACTTCTTTTGACTCGGCTTTCTTCTTCAGTTGTACACAATACTTTGGAGCATATGTCAAATCTTTAAATGGTGCAAGGTTCTGTTTATATAAGTCAGTCGTATATGTGAAAAGTTCTCCATAAGAAATAGGTTCGAAATATTTGCACTCCCACAATGTTTTCATAACATCCCATAGCGGTGTAGTTCTATCCATGCGAACAATGTATTTATCATCTCTCATTGTATATATTTCATCTGTTTTTCAATGTTCATTCCACCACACTCCTTCAAGATTTCTATATAGTTGCGAATGAAATATGTTGTCATTGGTAATCTTTCGTTTAGCATGTAGTGGTCTTCAACAAGAAGTAAGTCAATAGTTCGAACAGTTTTACATTCTTTTGGTATGTATCTCTTTATTTCATTATGTCTTGAGTCATTGAAGTAACCAATGGTAACATTAAATGCTATACCTGTTGCGTCAGAAATTTCTTGTACTTTACTTTGAGGAAAGTCTCTAACACGAATGACTTCTCTCATGTGGTCAATAGTCTCTCCATCTACTCCAGCCTGAATGCAAGCATAAACGAAACAATTGTCTTCTGTCATAAGTGTTGCAGTTCTTTTGTTCAGTTCATTGAAGATTTGGTAGCGTTCAAGATTTATAGGTAATGTGCAAAGATACTTCCAGAACTGACCGCTTCTCTTCTTATAAAACTTCTTTTCACCATTATCTTTCCAAAAGCTTTCTATAAGTGCTGGGTTTCCTGTTTGCTTAAGAGCTTCCAAAATGGCTTTCTGGTCATTTGTCAGTGTGCTTTCATCTCTATATGGTCTCTTTTTTGGTTTGCCTTTCTTTACATCTGACATCGTTAAGCCTTCATATTCTGTTAAATCATACATCTTTATTTCGGTAAGATTCTTTATGTTTGTCAAGAAGAAGTCATAGTGCATTTCAACAATACCTGCAGCATTTGCTTCTATCTCTGATATAAAGTTCTCCTTCAAGAGCTGATGTAGTAGTGTTCCAATATTATTGAGGTTTAACGTAGAACATTCATACTTTCCACCAAGTTTATAACATACCATCCATCTCTGTTGTGAGTTTATTTTAATTTTCTCTAAGAGTCTCATGAAAACCTTACCGAAATGTTTGTGTAAGTAGTCTCTGTTTGGTTCATCTAAAGCTTCGATGTTAAAGTCAATGAGTCTATTGCCTGACTTCACATTTCTCTTCCTATTCTCTTCATCTTTCTTTAACCATCTCTCACCTTCTTTTGGTTTGTCGTCAATGGAACGAATGACATCGTTAGCTTTACGAACTTGTTCTATAGCACTTTTAAACATCTCTCTTCTCTGTTGTTTCAGTGTGTCGTCTCTTCTTCTTGTTTCACCAACGTTTGCATTTGTTATGTCAAACATCTCTTGACGAACATCATGCGAAAGAGCTTTACGAGTATGACCAACGTTTGCATTTGTTATGTCAAACATCTCACTTACTTCATGAGGTACTGAACGTCTATGATATAAGTCAATAGCAACGTCATTTAAAGGAAATGCTCTTGCATGGACTTCGTCCTCGCCGCGTTGCGGCTTTATGAACTCATGAATTCTATCATAACTTATTGCACCATTATAGTCTTGAATGTCAGCGAGTGCTTTTTTGTTTGTTGCGTAATGCTTTGCAACATCTATATTAGCTTCTGTAAGAAGTTGTTTTATTTCCGAGTGTTCTAACTTAGACAACTTCCGATACATCTTTAGTAGGAAATAAAAAATATTTTTTGAAAAAATTAGATTAGATTTTTTAAGTTATTTTAAAATAATTTAATATTTTTATTTTAATGAAACACATGCAAGATTGCAAGTTCTTTTCATACAATGCTCTCGCTAATGCCATCAAGAATGAGTTCAATAATGCTTCAAATGTTAATGTTATCTTTAACAAGAAGTTTGTGAAAGAATCTAAGTTTGGTCAGTATGTCAGACCATTAGCTATCGTCATTGACCGCAAACGTTATACTTCACAAGAGTTAGCAGTAGTTTTGAAACAAAAGAGTTTCTTCGTGTGAATGTCAAAGATACTCATTATACTGTCATAAAGAACTCTAACATTGACTTCTTCAGTATTGCTTTAAATCTTTCCGAACAGAAAGAATATAAGAAAGGTGAAACAAATGTGAAATATTATCCTTCATCTCTGAAGACAATAACGAACAAAAATGTTATACAGAAATTCTTACCAAAGGTTGAAGAAGCTTCTATTGACATTGACGAAGGAAGTGAAATGGTTGAAGAAATAACCCTGAAGCTATTTAAGCAAAAATATATTTTTGGTTAGTATTCATATGATATTTTACAACAATTCCCCAATGTATAAACTTTTCATACGCTTTTTCATAAGCTTTATATACCTTCAGAAATTTTGCATAATCTTTAGAAGCATTTAGATATTGTTTAAATGCTTTGTATGTCTTCAGAAATTTTGCATAATCTTTTACATGTTGTTCGTTCTCTTCTTCTGTCATGAGTTCCGAATATTCTAAATTCATGTTCTTTCATATGAGATAAAATTTTATAAAAAAAATAAATTAGCTTAGATTTTTTTCATTCTTCCTCTTTGAAGTTATCGAAATACTCTGTTATTTTTTCCTTTAACAATGGTAAGTCTTCTTTGAATGTAAGTATTGTGCAACCTTTGATGTCATAGTGTGTTTGAGGAAGAGTATTTTTGACAATTTCCTTTATTTGCTCATTCGGTGTCATTGAAATCGGTAAGTTTTCACGATAGAACCAGTTTCTGTCAGATTTATATATCTTAGCTAAGTCATAAAAGCTCTTGTTGTTTCTTCTCACTAAATGCAACATAACCATATCTTTCTTCTTCATTTTCCATCTCTTCAGTATATATCATATACTTATAACTCTTTTCCTTTCCTTTTGGTACTGAACGCGGTATTCTTTTCTGTATGCTTTTGTCTTTGGATTCAATGACTTCATCTTTTGCTTGAAGTTTCTTTTCCATCTCTCCACGTTCTGCTTTATATAGTTCATCTAACATCATGAAAATATAACAGGCATAACGAGGTGAAGCCCACATTGCTACAGCGTTTACTAAAAGTCTATGAACATAATAACCTTTCAAACCAGGAGCCAAATTCTTGCGATTTTCGTACGGAATCTCTTCTCTCGGTTTTCCGAGGGAAGCAATCATATGAGGAAATTCTTCTAAAAGTTCTTTTGTCTGTTGGTTTTCAAACCAATGATATGCTTGCTTTGTAGAACGAAGAGCATTCATTATACTTTGCATTTGGTACATGTCATCTTTGACCGAACGAATGAGGCGAAGTTGTTTGTTATATTGTATGTACTCGTATTCTTCATTTATGGCTTCATGAACGATAGCAATTGTTGTGTTCTCTAATGTTGACATTACTGTCTTTACATACAAAATAAAAAAATAAATAAAAATAAAATTAGCGTTATTTTTTCTGAGATAAACACTATTTCTTCACAACATTAAATTTTATCCTGTATGAAATGACTTTAAAAAGATTATTGACTGACTTCGAATACTATCTCATTGACGCACTGACAGACCCTCAAAACTGTGTTGAAAGTTCTTTAAGCTTTAAGATTGAAGGTACGACGCATTTTGTCTTCACTTACGTATTGAAAGAATATGACCGTTATCATAACGAAGTGAATCAAACACTAATAAAATTTGTAGATAAAAAATTGGTTAACAATGAATATTTTAAACGTGAAGACCCAAACACTGCTGGAGATGATGAAGAATACAGACAAGTTATTGAAAAAAATAACGCAAGATTAGATGCAATAGAAAAGAAGTTTAATGAATGTCTTACAAACACGTATGAATATCTTATGCGGTGGGAAGCCAGATGGAAATAAATTTACGTCAAATATGCAATTTATAAAATCTTATGTCGACAGGCTACGTAGCACAGTGGTCTAAGGTGGTGTTATGGGGGTTAGGGTCTGTGGTTCGAACCGCGACAGCGCCGTATTTTCTTATTTTCTTTGTTTGTCTTGTTTGTCGTGAATAAAAAGTGTCATAAAAGTGCTCTATCTTCCACGGGAATAAATAAAAAATTTACTTTATTTCTTCTTTATTTCTTTGTTCCCGTGGAAGAAGGGTTTTGCTGTTTTTCTCAGCCGAAATCAATGATTTTTTCATTTTTGGAATCCTTAGCGAATGAGGAATCTTTTCTCTCGTGGAAGCTTTGACCAAAAATATAATTGAGGTGAAGAGGTGAGATCTCACCTGTTTTTTCACCTGTTTTTTCACCTCTTTTTTCACAAGCGTTTTACATGAATTGTACGATGTATATTTGAAATCCTAAACAATTTCGTAGCTTCTATTTCTTCTGTCAGTATGTCAAAAGTTTTAACAATACCGAAGGTTTCTTTATACTTCTTCTTGACGTCAGACAGAAGGAAATCTTCTGCTGTTGGATAGTTTTTGTTCAGAAATGCTAACATGTCCATTTTATCTTCTGCTGGCTTTTCTGCTTCTTTCTTTAAGTCTGCATAGTCGTTTCGCATACGTTCTATCTCTTTGACTGAGTAGTTATATTTTCTTATTCCTGCTTTACATTTTGAACATTGCGGGTTCATTTTTGCGTTATACATTGAAATAAAACCAGCTAAAACAACTAAAGCGTCAATTGCTCTCTTCATCTCAAACATAGCGGGTCTTATTTGTTCGTTCCATACTTTG